AAAAAAGTTTTTTCTTTTTACATCCACGCCATTGTGACACCAGATCTAATTAGTGGCACTTGTCAGCGTATCCACTGTTAGCGTAACACACCCGCTTTAAGGACACTGACTGCTATTCAATCTATAACAGTAAAAAAAGTTTTTTGTTTTTAAATCCAAGCTATTGAGACACAGGATCTAATTAGTGGCACTAGTCAGCGTATCCACTGTTAGCGTAACACACCCTCTTTAAGGACACTGACTGCTATTCAATCTATAACAGTAAAAAAAGTTTTTTGTTTTTAAATCCAAGCCATTGTGACACAGGATCTAATTAGTGGCACTTGTCAGCGTATCCACTGTTAGCGTAACACACCCGCTTTAAGGACACTGACTGCTATTCAATCTATAACAGTGAAAAAAGTTTTTTGTTTTTAAATGCAAGCTATTATGACCCCAGTGAGTGGTGGCACTGGTCACCGTATCCACTGTTAGCGTAACACACCCGCTTTAAGGACACTGACTGCCATTCAATCTATAACAGTGAAAAAAGTTTTTTGTTTTTAAATCCAAGCTATTGTGACACCAGATATAAGTGGTGGCACTGACTGGGGAAATGGGCACAGTATGCACTGTGAGCCTGACACAGAAGCTGGCAGCAGTGGCAGACAACTGACTGCTATTCAATCTATAACAGTGAAAAAAGTTTTTTGTTTTTAAATCCAAGCTATTGTGACACCAGATGTAATTGGTGGCACTGACTGGGGAAATGGGCACAGTATGTGAGCCTGACACAGAAGCTGGCAGCAGTGGCAGACAACTGACTGCTATTCAATCTATAACAGTGAAAAAAGTTTTTTGTTTTTAAATCCAAGCTATTGTGACACCAGATGTAATTGGTGGCACTGACTGGGGAAATGGGCACTGTGAGCCTGACACAGAAGCTGGCAGCAGTGGCAGACAACTAAGTGCATTTACATTAGATAGAAAAAAAAAATCCAAAAAAAGCATACCCTTATCCCTAACCTAGCTATGCTTTTCCCTATCTTATGAACAGCAGCTACACTTTCCCTCCTCTTACTAAGCATGCAGCTTGAGAATGAATCTAAAATGGATGCTGTCCAGTAGGTGGGAGGGTCTGCTAGGGAGGCTGTGCTGCTAATTGGCTGGAATGTGTCTGCTGACTGTGAGGTACAGGGTCAAAGTTTACTCAATGATGACGAATAGGGGGCGGGTCGAACCGCGCATATGTTCGCCCGCCGTGGCGAACGCGAACATGCTATGTTCGCCAGGAACCGTTCGCCGGCGAACCGTTCGGTACATCACTACTCCTCAATTGCTTTAATAGTTCTTAGGTAAGCCACACATGGGCATTAGCTGCAGGTTTAAAGGTTCCATATAAACAGGAAGGCTTTCCCTGTGGTTGCATGCAAGGTTCTCACCAAAAATAGGGCAGTAACATTGAGTTTTGAGCTCAGTAAGTTGACTCCCCCGAGGAGCTCCAGCACCATGCATCCGTTCAGGTCTGCTGTCAGGCCCTGCCCCCCAGATTGTAATAATTTCTGATGCTGACCCAAACAAATTAAATTGAGACCTTAGTGCTGTGTTAGATTATATGACACATATCATGGTATATATGATATTAAAGGAAAGCCCTTTCTGTCCCTTAAAAAGCAATATATGATAAGTAAAATATACTTATGAAGGTGGAGCGCTTCAAAAGACCCCAAGACCTTCTTATATGATAAGTAAGGGTGCCCTTATAGAGAAACTCTTAAATTACAGTGCAGCAAACACAATAAAAATTCCAGGTTTTCTATTGGTTCAGAAGATGGACACTTGCTATCTTCTTTAAAAGATTAAGGATTCTGCTGTATTTTTTTGCTTATTACATAATTGATTCAAAAAGATCCCTATACCCTAAAAGTCAGTTATTATGGAGAAATATTATTGACACAATAACAGAACCACTGTAGCCTTATAGAATGCAATAGCATATAGCATAACTTTTCCCTAAAACACGTTGTCATTTAATTAATACCCCCTAAATTAGCAAATGATTGTACACATGAACTTATCAGGAAAGGTTAAAGGATCTTAACATGTTTAGCTTGGAGGAAAGACGAGCCAGGGGGTATATGATAGAAACATTTAAATACATAGATGGAATCAACACAGTAAAAGAAGAAAAACTAACAACAAGAAGATGTAGTCTTTTATAAATTAGAGGGACAACGGTTTAAAAATAATATCAGGACGTATTATTTTACTGAGAGGGTAGTGGATGCATGGAAAAGCCCTACAGCTAAAGTGGTAGAGGTTAACACAGTGAGGTAGCTTAAGACATAAGACTATCCTAGATATAAAATAAGGCCATGGACTTATTAAATTGTTTAGAAAATTGGGCAGACAAGATGTGCTGAATTGTTCATATCTGCTGTCACATTCTATGTTTCTATGTCAGCACTGGCACGGTGATATATTTAGTCAAATTGATAATGTCACAAATACATAATCCATTATAATAAGTGTCAATTTGAAAAACAAGAGTTTTCATCCATAATGGTCAGATACCACTATGGATCCATTCTGGGTTCTGGTGCTACAGAATTAGCATCAGAAGCATTTTGGAAGTCTGCTCTATTGGAGAACTTGTCAACCTCTGAGAGGGGCTGGACAATGGCTACTAAATTAGAAGCTTTTTGAAGGTACATGGTTGACTTTAACATTGCAACATGATTTGGAACAATTAATACTTGTGTATGGAACCATATAAAAGACACTGCAGGTATTATATATAATGCTTAAAAAAAGTTGTTAAACATAATTTGCTAAATCACATTTAAATACTATAAGGTCTTATTATGTGTTCACCAAATGTACTGTGTACATTCAGTGAAAGACGCAACACATGCATAGTTTGCAATAATATCTGATTTTGTTCAATACCTTTTTTTTTTTTTTAATGTGAAATAATGTAAATGTATCTCTCAGATATTTGACAATATTGAACAGGTGATTATGTCTACATTAGAATGCTTTATATAATGAACAAAGTCTTGATTTAATGTGAATATATAAATATTTTTAATATAAAAATAATATTTAAAATAAAATATCAAGTAAGAAAGATTGTGCTTCTGCAAACTTATATATGCAGATGTACACTCTTCATTTTGGAATTCAAAAGTATACAGACGTAACAATCTGCTTCAAAAACATAGAAATGTTGACATGAGAAAGATTAAACTTGATGAGCACAAGTCATTTCCAGCCTATGTAACTATGTAATATGTAATACACCTTAAAAAAATATTTACATATAAGGCAAAAAAATTTTAATGGGTTATAACCATGAAAATAACTAGTAACTGAGGAATTAGGTCCTTTGCCAAATCCCAGATCTACAATTGTTGCTTAGCTGGATCAAACCAATCTAACATTCACACACTTTTGATAGTTTGAGCTATACTGGCTTTTAAGAGGGGGGAGATTAACACAGACAGAAAGACACACCTAGTAACCATCATATCACTTAAAACAACAACAAAAATCACATAGCATTAAACGTGTTGAAAGGCTTCTTTCTGGCAACTCGACCATGCGGCTAATTTCTGTTCAAGTATCATTGTATTGTGCTCCTTGAAACAACCACACCAGATTAGCCTGCATTTCTTCCAAGGTTACCTGTGGGTTTATTTTTGTATCCCAAACAATTCTTCTGGCAGTTGTGGCTGAAATCTTTCTTGGTCTACCTGACCTTGGCTTGATATCAAGAGATCCCTGAATTTTCCACTTCTTAATAAGTGAATGAACAATATTGACTAGCATTTTCAAGGCTTTGGATATCTTTTTTATATCCTTTTCCACCTTTATAAAGTTCCATTACCTTGTTATGCAATTCTTTTGACAGTTCTTTTCAGCTCCCCATGGCTCAGTATCTGGCCTGTTCAGTGCATCCATGTGAGAGCTAACAAACTCATTGACTATTTCTACACAAACACTAATTGCGATTTAAAAAGCCACAGGTGTAAGAAATTAACCTTTAATTGCCATTTTAACCTGTGTGTGTCACCTTGTGTGTCTGTAACAAGGCCAAGCATTCAAGTTTATGTCAACTTTTGATCAGGGCTACTGATTTCTGTTATCAGTATGATTTAAAAAAGAGCCGAACAACTAGATGATAATAAATGACTTCATATGATCACCATCCTTCAATAAAATACATTTTTTGCATGATCAGTCATATTTTCAAAATCAATGTCAAAATTTCACAATTTCTGTCAGGGAATGCAAACATTTGAGCACAACTGTATATGCCAAAAAAAAGCCAAATTAATTTAATTACAAAATGAATATGTATTATTAAATTATTCTATATTGAAGAGGAGAAGAACAGTCTTGTTAACTTTTTTTTTGCTACACGGAATGAACACATCATGCATAGATGGTGGGTGACACAGCACTACCTGTGCCCTGCCTGCTGCCTTATTTGAACTACTATAGGAATTAACTTTTGAGGATTTTTATGGTATTTATCACAATCTGGATATTTCCAAAATTACAGATGTACGACTGCTATCTAATTTGTATGCCTGCATCTTGTAAGCCATCCAATCAGAGTGCTCTGACAGGCAAGTCTCGCCTCATGCTAGACTATCCGTGGAGCCCATGGGCGGACATTGGAGCCCATGGGCAGACATTAGGTCCCCCGATTATGATGGGGACTGGGGAGATACTAACCCCCCCTATTTAATAAATAGCCTCTATCTGCAATTACGATTAGGATGCCCCCCCTTTATTTTTTTTATTTTATAGTCCCCTACCCCATGCCCATGGATGGGGCCAGCAGGTGTAGAGGGATCTATGGAAGCTGGCTTACAAGCTCTGGCCAGTGGCCACATAGTTAATTATTGCACCTCCAATGGTCCAGTTGCCAGCTTGAAAATAGCACATATTTTTTAAATCTTGGCTCAGATTTCAGATGTTTGACAGCATTAGATCTGGCTGAAATCCAGACCACATTTAGGTTCATTTGGATATTTCTCTGCATAATCCAGACATTGTTAAATAGTGTGAACAGTGTCTGGATTTTGCCATCTGAATGGACCCGTACTGCACTGGAATGCTTTTCTCCATTAAGTATGAAGTTATTCAGACTTTAGTGAATAACTATGTTTGTGTTGCAATTTCCATGTTGCTTGAAATCAGTTGAGATATAAGATGGGAGGTAGTGTATGCAGTTTTAGCACTGTTACTTGACAGGTTTTTCAGTGCATTGCTTAGGTTGCTGGCTCTTAAATCCTGACTAAATAAACATGTGTGTGACTGGTTAGACTCCTGTTTGAGAGTGAGAAAGAGACATACATTTTCTGTACATACATATCCTTCATTTATCTAACAGCATAGACAGCTCCTGACAGTACATATCTTCCTTCTGTGCAGATTTTTTTTCATGATCTTTGCTATCTGAGGCATTGGAGATGACCATCAATGACTGTTGTGGCGCAGACTATGTTGCAAGTAGCTTCCCTTTGCAAGGATTTTGCGCTGTGGAAAGAGAAAAAGTAAGATTAACAAAAAGCATTATGTGCATTTTGTATATATTTTTTTTTTTACCTTGTTAAGTAAAATGCATTAAACATTGAATATATCACCCCTGGCAATTAATACATATTAAATGGATCATCCATGCAGTGTGGATGTCATTTATATATTGTTAAAGGATATTGAACATATGCTTTCACATGCCACCCATAAACATCTTAAATTTTTCACCTTGGGAAAGAATGGAGTAAAAGAATGCATTCCACATTGCAAGCTGCAAGGTGATGGAGTGTGTTTTTTGTTTGTCTTACCAGGTGTTAATGACGCCAAAACTCACTGTCTACACCACATAGTCTGATGACCTGCCTCTTTTCTCATAGTGACTCTGTGTCTCACCTGTCACTCTTTGAAGTCAATGAGTTTGGGGGTCTGCCAACAAATAGCTCATTTTATTTTTAACCCCTGCTTTACAATATTAATGTACAGTATTACATACTATGTTTTACAGGATTGATAAAACATTTGTAATGGCTTACACATTGCCACTGCTCCTGTCCATATCCTAAATGTATTTCTTTAAGCACTGACTTTTCCTTCTGAAGGGATATACATAATTTCGGAAAGTTCTAAAATTATAAGTTGCTACGGCCAGTAAAGAATTATGTATAAATAGGGGCATTATTTATCAGGATGAAAATATAATTTTGCCTCTTTATAAATTAGGCACCAGTTTTAAAGAAGGATATTATGCCACTAGAAAAAGTGCAGAAAATTAACGGAACCTTTTAGTTATGAAAAAAAGGTTAACACATTTAAATCTCTTTAGTTTGAAGAAATAGTGCCTCATAGGGGATATGCTTAGCATTATACAAACATATTCTGGGCCAATACCAATACCTGGAAATCTATTAATAAACAGGACTATACATAGGATATTTAGATTTGAAGAAAGGCAATTTAGTCTAAAGCAAAGGAAAGGATGTGGAATTCTCTGTCTGAAGAGGTGGTGTTATCCGAATCTGTACAATTGGATGAATTGGATTAAAAAACAATATTCAGGGATTTAAATTTTAATTTGTGGGGTAATAGCTTCTTGAAGAGATCTGACTGCCAGAATTTTTTTCCTAGTTTGACTGTCAGAATTTTTTCCTGGGTTTTTGCTTTATTTTAGATCATCAACAAAAACAGATATGAGGAATACTGAACTTGATCGACGTATTTCTCCTTTTAGCCATGTAACTATGTATGTACTAATATTAATTAAATCAACATTTTTCTCATGTGCAAAATCAGGGCCCTTTGAAAGTTTTGTTTACTTTAGGCACTTGCCCCTCCATTATAAACAGAAGTCTCAGTCCCCATTAAATCCCCCAATTGTGCCCCGGATACTTTCTCTTAAATGTCCTTGCACCCCCCCCCCTGTCATTTTCCACACTATACCACCACTTGTACTGCACATATTACAAGCTTACTGTTGGTGGTGGGTTTATTGTGCCATCTGCAGCTAAAAAATTGCACTTGATTCTATCTTACTGTATTGTTTTACGATAACCTTCAAACTGTGATGCAATTGCAAAGTCTGCAAATTCGTGAAAATCATGCTTAACCAAATGTGTCCATCGATAATATCACAATCTCAGCCTATTAAGATTTCTTTATTAACAAGAAATTAGTTTTGTCTGAAATCAAACACTTTTTATGGTGGCGTTACTGAGGTCTATAATGAATTGTGGACTGTGAAAGAATTTAAAAAATACTCAAGCAAAACCGTTAAAATAAAGAAAACTTTCAATACCAATGCTTAATTGGAGTCAGGAACAACGTTATTTCATTTTAATTTAAGAAGTTCAATTTTAATGTGAAGATTTATTTCTGCTGAGGCAAAAGCCATGATGCCATTGACACTGTATCAAAGTTTTAATCTGCTCTCCTGTCTCTATTGTCTAATATAACCTTTAACTTCACTAACAGCCTGGCTGTGAGATACTGTTTAAATCTAAACATGGGATATACTGGTATACATATGAATGTAGCTAAATACAAAGGGTGTGCAGTTAGAGTAGTTTGTGAAGTAGATTCATGAAAAGACTGAAAATAGTGTAAAATAGCCTACTTTTGCAAATACTATGTGCGAGTAATATGAATTTTGGGATTGCTATGGTATCAAAACTGAGAGCAATTTAACCCTAGGAAACGATGTACCTGAACAATGCCACACCTTGCCTTTTCATTAGTCTTAATTAGAGTTGAGCGGACACCTGGATGTTCGGGTACGGCCGCACTTTGAAAAAAAGTCCGGGTTCGGGCTCGAACTTGACCCCGAACTTGACCCCGAACCTGAACTCCATTGAAGTCAATAGGGACCCGAACTTTTGGGCACAAAAATGGCTCTAAAAAACTTCTGGAAAGGGCTAGATGGCTGCAAAAGGAAGTAAGATGGGGGTAAGAGTAGGACAAGTGACCTGCAAACAAATGTGGATAGGGAATCACTTAAAATAACATAAAATACATAAAATAAGCAGCCGCTTAGTAGATAACTCCCTAATTCCCACGGTATTAGAGAGCTATCTACTAAAAGGCTGAAAGACCTAAATTGGTCTTTCAGCCAAATTTACTAATACTAAGTAAAGATTACTTAGTATTAGTAAATTCTGCCCCTTCTCACTATAACGCGAGTAGGGGCGTGTCTAGTAAACCGTGAGCAGCCTTTGGGGATGGGGGCCCTAAACACCCTGAGCGGCGGGTGGGGACCCCAAAACATTTTTTACCCCCCAGGTGACTAGGGGTCCCCAAATCCCTAGTCAACCTCCTCCCCCCAAAAAATTTACCCTTACCTACCCCCCTCATCCTAAAAATAATGAGGGAGGACCCTTATCTAAATACCTGTTAAAAAAAATGTATAGACTTACCATTTGATGTCTTCTTTCTTCTAAAATCTTTTTTCAGCCCCAAAAAAGGCCAAATATAAATCCATAATAACCGACGCAATTTAAAAAAAAAAAAAAGAGCGCAAATAAAAATAAATCCATCTTATAAAGCCTTGCCTCGCCCTGCAATTAGGCTCAGAGCACTCTGATTGGTGGGTTTAAGCCATCCAATCAGAGTGCTCTGACAGGTAAGTGAAGAGGCTGACAGGTAAGTCTCTACATTTACCTGTCACAGCACTCTGATTGGTTGGCTTGGAATCCACCAATCAGAGTGCTCTGTGTCATTTTATACAGCGTGGGAAAGTTTATTGGAATTTTCCCACGCTGTGTAAAATAACACAGAGCACTCTGGTGGATTATGTAACGGGAACTAGCTGGGTCACATGCTGCACTGGCCAATCACATCCATGCCATTAGTAAGCATGGCTGTGATTGCTTCTAGGGCACACGAGTCAAACGCTTGTTGATTTGCTGCCCTGCAGCCTTTCAAAACGCATCATTAAATCACGGAACACCGAACTCCAACCAGAACATACAGTGATATGTCTGTGTTCGGGTCCGGGGTCCAAAAAACTTAATGTTCGCGCAACTCTAGTCTTAATACATAACAAAAGTGTTATGTTTTAAGGTGATGGATACAGGATCAATGTCAAATCATGCCTCTCTCTTTTCTCACACAGCACCAGCACAGCAAATTTACTGCACAGAACGAGTCATTGTAAGATAGGTATAAAGAGATGCTCACAAGGAGTTGGATAGAAGGGAAACACACATAAGTTTTGTCAGTTTGTTTAAGAAAGATTTAAGTAGGGGAGTTGTGAGAAAGAAGCACAGTAAATGAGCTGACAAGTAAACAAATAGTGAATAAGATGGTAAGTAGATGGGGGGCACTATGTGTAATACCATAATTACCATAGGAATGAGATGACAGGTGTGTGAGACAATGTGGGAAGTGGGATGGGATAGAGGCATTGAAAGCAAAGGGATAGACTGTGAGAGACACTGTGTACAATGAGATAAGGGGAGGGATTATGGAAATATTGTATAGGGAATGGAATAGGGGATGTGGAGAATGGGAGGCAATGTGGGAAATAGACGTGAGGGTTTAGGGAGGCAATTGGTTGCAATGTAGGAATGGGATAGAGGGTAGGGCTGCAATGTGGGAATTGGTTAGAGGGTAGGGTTGGTGGGAGATTCAGTGTTGGAAATGATAGCGGATCGGAGGCAGTGTTGGGAAGGGATAGAGAGTGTGATGGATGGGAGGCAATGTGGGGAAGGAATATGGAGTGGGCAGGGGTAGTGTGAATAATTAGTTGGTACATTGTTTGCTACTTTAGTGCATACATTTGAGGAAGGTTGGGTACTCTACAATGCATTCCAGCCTCCCTTAATATTATTTCTCCACAGTACCTATCAATCCTAGACACCCTCCAACTTACTTTAACTCTTCACAAACCCACCCTACATCTAATTTCCTCTTAAAATATTTAACAGAATGACCCCACTAATGTTTGAAGACTCTAGTCTCACCTTCTATCAGGACTTGACGAGGGCCACCTTACAGTGGCGCCGATCACTTCATCCAGTGACCCAACAACTACGTACCGCCAATATCACCTACAGGTGGGGAGCGCCGGGCTCACTCTTAACTACACACAATGGGACTACCCTCACACTCACCTCGCTTGCGGAAGCCTCATCTTTTCTTGAAACGCTGGGACTGACAACTGTAGACACATCAGAGGGCCAGAGGGACCTAGAAAATGGCACTCCCTTGGCTTGAAGCACCGCTTGCCCACCCAATCACGGCGAGAAGAAACAATACCAAGGACACTACAAAAAGACCCAGATAATAGCAATGCGAATGTTGGTTTATCTGTATATAGGTTGAATACCCCAGAACACTTACCATCCCCAACCTGTATGACAGGGTCTTCTACCTATACTCCTTTAACAACGGGGACCCCCCTTAAGGGCACCCAGACCCACCTCAGACAGCATTAAGAGATGCTCTACCAACCCCCCTCCCTCCCCCCCGCCGCCCCCTTGGTTAGGGGCACAAATAGCAAAACGGTACATAAACGATCTAGTGAAACACGCAGACACAAGAGTGAAGCCAAAGGGAATGTAAATACACTCCTGACCCTCCTGTCACATAACCATACACAGACACCACCCCTAACAGCGACACACCTAGTTGCAGATCGTATAGAGTATTGTTTGTTAGGAGCAGGGACCTGAGATAGTGACACAATGGACATACGACAAAAACCTTCTTAGCTCAACACCTAGTCTCAGACCCGCAATTACAAGCTTTGATTCACCCCGTGAGCACTGACATGCCCTGTTGCACCCGAAAAGCACTCACCTCATCACCGACATGTCCTATCAAATGCAGTTGATATATTACAAAAAGTGCTGTCTAATCGTTGATACTTACCTATGCCTCGCAATTGTATGCTTGTTCATAACCTACTTCTGCTGTTGTGGCAGAATAGGTAAAATTGTTCTATTGTCGCACGACTAAATAAAGAATTTAAAAAAAAAAAAAAAAAAATATTTAACAGAATAAGGTCATTGCCACTTCTTCTTACCTTTAACATGGCTGGATTGCACTGAAGCAAACTACGGTTCCTCATTTGCTGACTGTATGTCTCCATGTGCTTTTTTTAACTGCTCTTCCTTTAATTTCTGCTTAGCTGCTGCCTGCTGCTCAAGAGTGGAGAGAGGTGGGTGAGTGACACTGGAGGGAGATTGAAGACTGGATGTCATGAGGGGTTATGACAGTGAAGTCATAGCCCCACTGACTCCCCTGTAAAAATCTGGATTAAACAGCAGCATGTCAAAGAATGAGAATCTGTATTCTCCTTCTTAGACAAGGACTACATTATACATCTTTTGCTGGCATTAACTCTTCACTCCATCCCCCATTGTGTACTTTATTCACAGTTTAGATCACCTAGGCTATTACAAAGCAAAATATTTACTCCTAGTAGTTCCAGAAAGTTTATTCTTTCCCTGAAACAACATATCAAAGGAGTTTCATCTTTAAATTATCTGTCAAGAATTATTTGTATTAGAGTGGCAGATTGGGCAGAGGGGAAATTCCCCCTGGCCTCTCTGGATGCACCATAAAATATAAGAATCTGAATAAGTTTCTGAATCCCTTAGTGCTCTCAAGCCAGCATCTAACAGACTCCACTGACCATACTTGCCAGAGCTTAGATTTAAATATTAATAACAAAAAAACAAAAACAAATAAACATACCAGAGCTGTGTTATTTTCCTTTTTCTTCTATGGCAAGTTCCCAAACATTAACAGTCCTGGGCTACACGCTCGGTTTGCCGGGACAACCCATCGGTATTCCTGTTCTGCTTCCTGGGCCAGTAGTGTATGGTGAAATTGTGAGGATGTAATGCGTGTGTGTTCTTATGGAATGTAGTGTATAGGGATACCAAGGGATGCGTAAGGGATGTAGTGTGTGTGTATAGGGGATTAGGGGCTGCAGTGTGTGTTTGTGTGTAAGGAATACATTTTGTGTTTCTGGGTGTGTGTGTAAGGGATGCATTTAGTGAATCGGTGTTTGTATGTGTAAGGAATGCAAGGTGTGTTTCTGTGTATGTAATGTAATGCAGTGTATGTGTCTGTAAGGGGTGCATTGAGTGTGTGTAAGATATGCATTTTTGTGTGTGTGTGTGTGTGTAAGGGATGCATTGTGTGTTTTTGTATGTAAGGGATGCATTGTGTTTGTATGTGTGCGCAATGGATGTGTTGTGTGTTTCTGTGTGAGTGTAGGATGCATTGTATGTTTCAGTGTGTCTGTGTGAGTGTAAGATGCGTTGTATGTTTCAGTGTGTCTGTGTGTGAGTAGGGATGCATTGTATGTTTCTATGCATGTGTGTGTATGTGTAAGGATACCAAGTTTATGTGTGTAGTGTGAAAGAGAGGGTTTGTGGGGTAGGGTATGGGCTGAGAGGGGAGCAGCTCTTTATTGTTATTATTATATTTATTTTGTTAATATACTTTTTTTGTATATTCTTTTCTTTAAGTTTTGTGTCTTACACCTCCCTTTAGTTTAACTCTGACAAGCCCCTTGTGTGCCTCTTACCCCCCCCCCTTTGTATGTCTTACTCCCCCAAGCCCCTTTGTGTCTTACTCTTTCCAGCTCCTTTGTGTGTCTCTTTTCCCCCCAGGCTTCTCTGTGTGTCTCCCTCACAAGTGACTCTGTGCTTCTCTCTCCTGAGCCCCTCTGAGTGTCTGTCTCCCCTACCAGCCCCTCTATGCTTCACTTTCACCCCTTCCACAGCCTCTCTGTTTGTCTTACACTCCCCCCATCCCTTAATGATCTCTTTCACTCCCCCCTTCCCTTAGTGGTCTCATCTCCTCTCCTCCCCTTGTCTCTTAGTGGTCTCCTCTACTGTCCCTTAGTGATCTCCCCTGTCCCTAAGTGCTCTTTCCCCCCTCCATTAGTGTTCCTCTCCCCTCCCTGTGTCTCCCCCCCTCTTAGTGGCCCTGTCCATTTCCCCCCTCCCCTTTAGTGGTTCTGTCTCACTCCCCCGCTCCCCTTTTGTGGTCCTGTCTCACTCCCCCCTCCCCTTTAGTGGTCCTGTCTATCTCACCCTCACTCCCCTTTAGTGGTTCTGTCTCTCTCACCCCCCCTCCCCATTAGTGGTCCTGTGTCTCTCCCCCTCTCCCCTTTAGTGGTCCTGTCTCTCTCACCCCCTCCCCTTTGGTGGTCCTGTCTCTCTCTCTCAACCCCTCCCCTTTAGTGGTCCTGTCTCTCTCCCCACCCCGTTGGTGGCCCTGTCTCTCTCACCCGCACCTCCCCTTTTGTGGTCCTGGCTCTCTCACCCCCTCTTCTTTAGTAGTCCTGTCTCTCTCCCCTCCCCTTTAGTGGTCCTACCTCTCCCCCCTCCTTCCTCTTAATGCTACCTGCCTACTTTCTTGGTGGTCATCTCCTTCCCCCCTCAGTGGTTCTATCCCCTCCTGTCCATTAGTAATTTCTCCTGTCCCTTAGTGCTCTCTCCTCCCCTCCCTTAGTGTTCCTCTCCCCTCCCTGTTCCTTAGTGGTCTCCCCCCCTTAGTGGTTCTCTCTCCCCCTTAGTAGTCCTCCCTCTCCTCCCCTCTTAGTGGTCCTGTCTCTCTCACCCCCTCCCATTTAGTGGCCCTGTCTCTCTCCCTCGATCCCCTTTAGTGGTTCTGTCTCTCTCACCCCCTCCCCTTTAGTGGTCCTGTCACTCTCTCACCCCCTCTCCTTTAGTAGTCCTGTCTCACATTTCCCCCCTCCCCTTTAGTGGTTGTACCTCTACCCCCTCCTCCCTCTTAGTGGTGCTACCTCCACCTTCTTGGTGGTTATCTCCCTCCCCCCTCAGTGGTTCTCTCCCCCGTGCCCCCTACATATCTTTTTAGCGTGGCTGGGTGGCGCGGGCGGCAAACCACGTTACAGGAGCTTTTATTTCCTGTGGCTGGACTGACAGGAAGTGCTTCCTGTGACTTCCTGTCAGTCCGGCCGGGTACTGGAAACAGATGCTTCTGTACAGCGGTCCGATGCCCGGCCACACTACACTGAGTGACAGGTAGGAGGGAGCGATGTGCGCTTCCCTCCTGCCGGCTCACTCAAATCTTGTGCCCCCTGGGCCGGTGCCTAAGTCACTTATAGGATGCGCTGGCCCTGCTTGGAGGTTCTTTTGGACAGTCTGGGTAAGCTTCTCCATGTGGTCCCTCAACTCCAGCATGTATGGCATGATCGGGATACCTTCTACCTTGGTTTCTCCTTCCTAGTATGAGATTGAGAGCTTAAAAGGGTAGAACCCTGTGGATTCATGCAGAAACTTCAAGTATGCAAAGAGGAGGTAGGGTAGGAATCTCTCCCAGTCCCTACAAGCAGTAGTGAACATCTGAAGCATCTGCTTCAGCGTTCTATTAAACCACTTGCAGAGACCGTTGGTCTGGGGATGATAGTGGGAGTTATGCAGTGGTCCCCCATAGCCTCCAGAGTTGGTGCGTGACTTCAGCAGCGATTTGGGTGCCATGACCTGAGACTATCTCCTGGGCAAATCCCACTATAGAGAAGATTCATACCAGTGCATCTGCTACAGTTTCTGCTTGAATATTTGTTAATACCACCGCTTCTCAATATTGGGTAGCGTATTCCACTATGTTAAGATCTATTTCTTAACAGAGGGAATAGGCTTAGATAATGGTTCTACTATATCTACAGCCACCCTAGTAAATGGCTCTTCTACTTTGGGCATCAAATGCAACTTGGCCCAGGGATGGTCTATATTCTTCCCAGCTCTCTGGCAGGTATCACACGTCTGGCAATATTGCTGGATATCCCAACAATACTACCTGCTGGCAGGTCCCTCATGATGCCAACATCTACGGTGCCGGATCTGGCTCCCCAGTCTAGGTGGCTTTGCGCAGTAGGTTGCCAGTGTATGGCTCCCCCAGCCACCCGAATGGCTACTGACTTCCCTGGGTTTTCTGTACCACCAACCAAGTGTATTTGGTTAGAATTGCACCTGTGTCCCGGTGCACTCTTGCAAGTTTACCAGCACCAGTTGGTAGTGATGCTGGTGATTATCTGTGGATGCCGCCTGTACGTGACCTTCTAGAGGGTACCCTAGGATGCCATGGTATTAAATCCCTCTCTTTCTGGGGTCAGAGTAATATTGTAATCCACGCATAGAGCAGCAGCTCGAGGTGCTGTGGAACTCGCTCTTGTGTTGGCCATGGGGCAGTCCCTTTGGATATGTCTAATCTGTTTTCAATAGAAACAACAGTTTCCATTCTGATTGGTGGTGTTCACTGGGGCTGGTATCAATCTTGGTATCAGTTATGGTGGAGGTCGCTGCGGGGCTTGATGGTGTTGGGGTGCCCGTTGCGTCTGTTGGTCCAGCCACCTGGCATCAGCATATTCATCTGCCAGACAAGCTTCCTCTGGAAGTGTAAGGAGACGTCGATATCTTACCCATTCCGGGAGCTCTGCAGAGAAGGCTGCATAAAATTACTCCAACAACATAAGCTGAACTACATCCTCCATGGTTGTGGCTAGGCACTTGTTTTCCCAATGCATGGCAGGTCTGGGCACATAGATTTTGAGTGGGCCCTAAAGCATATTGAACAGATGTGCAACAACCGACATGCACTCAGTGGCTTACCTGGAGGGGGCCGTCCGCCCTGGGTGCCACTCACTAGGGGGGTGCCCTGGGCAGACTGCGTTGGGTCCTGGGTCACTGACCGAGTACCCGACACCAGGAGGGGGCCTGGCGGCTTGCTCCATATGCCGCAGGGTGCAATGCACCTCCTGCGCCCAACGCAGACACCGGTCTGCAGCTCCGCAGTGTGCAGACCATGTGTCTTGCGAGATCTGATCAATCAGAGTGTTGCCACGGTTTACCACAGTATTGCACTGACTGGATCTCACGAGATTCATTCACCGGATATTATGGCCACCGGACCACCAGGGAGCCCACTGGACCACCAGGGAATTAAGGTATTTAGTCCCCCCCTTCCCCATCCCTCACACCATCACCCCTTCACATCACCCCCCTCTCCCTCTCACATCACCCCCCTTCCTCTCATCATCACCCCTCCTCCCACCATCACCAACCCTCACATCACCCCCTTCCTCACACCACCACCCCCTCACACCATCACCCCCCTCTCACATCACCCCTCTCATCACCCCTCCCTTACATCACCCCCTCTTCCTCTCCCATCACCCCCTCTCCCCTATCTCACCATCACCCCTCCCTCTCACCATCACCCCTCCTCTCACCATCACCCCCTCCCTCTCATCATCCCCCACCCTCTCCCACAATCACCCCCTCCCTCACACCATCACCCCCTTCCTCTCACCATCACCCCCTCCCTCTCACCATCACCACCCTCTCACCATCACCGCCCTCTCCCTCTCCCTCTCACCATCACTGCCCTGTCCCTCTCACCATCACTGCTCTCTCCCTCTCACCATCACCCCCCTCACTACTACACTATACAAACACCCACACACAGACACACACTTATACATGTATGTTTGTGTATCTCTATGTCTGTGTATCTGTATGTGTGTTGGTATATATGTATCTGTATGTGTCAGTGTGTGTATGTGTATCTGTTTGTGTGTCTGTGTATCTGTTTGTGTGTCTGTATGTGTGTGTCTCTATCTGTATGTGTGTCTGTGCCTGTGTGTGTCTCTCTGTGTGTCTGTATGTGTGTGTGTCAGTGTTTGTCTGTATCTGTGTATGGCTGTGTTTCTATGTAACTGCATGTGTGTACCTATGTGTCTGTGTATGTGTGCCAGTGTGTGTATATATGAGTATATGTGTATATATGCATAAATCTCAGCATTTCGCCTACACTACACACAAATACAACTCTGCATCCAAATGTCAACACTACATAAAAACACCACACCATATTAAAGAAGAGTATATGACGTATGGCCGTGGGTAAACTTCAGCAGTGAGGTAGGGAGTGTGGCCTCACTGGTTTGTGAGTTTAACATGCACAACATTAAAGGCAGCACCTGAACCTATAAGCCAGTTCTCTATCGCTGGACGTGGGCTTGACAAAAGCAAGGACTAATGTGAGAGGAGAAGGCACGTACCTTACTAAGTAAAAGTGTAGTCTATGACAGAAAAGTAAAAATACAGGAAAAGAATACACGTTTAGGAGTAAATACAGAAATTACTGGGGGAAGTAAGTAGTGGTATAAAAAGAGAGAAAAAATAGAGAAAATAATCCACATATCAAAATGTGGTCAGTAGATTACATCTCCAAAGAAACAGGACTTTTTATAGAGATCTATGATTAAAAGTAATACGTATACCTATGAGTATAATAAAAACCAAAAAAAGGGGGTAACATTAAAGTATCACTGAGAGAACTAAAAGTACATGAGGAATAGATGAATACACCATGTCCTCTAATAGCTGAAAAGTATACCAATGATTCTAAAATATACATATTTTTTACCTTTAATTAAAATGCCACCAAGGGATTATAAAAACAGAAACCATAACTTATAAGCATTTGATTGTTTCAATTGAAAGCCTTTATTAAACAAAAAAAGAAACCGATACATAAAGTATAAAACGTACATGATAAATAATACATTATACGAAAGGTACAATAGACATATCAATGACAGGTAATATGTATTATGAGGACAGAATTCACTCTTTAAAATATGTAAACCAAACATCCGAGATATTATTATATTTTGTTATAGTACCATTATAATATACTGCTTTTTCCATTACCCCTTGGTAATTAATCTGTGCTCTTATTTCTTCCATATTGGGATTTTTGTTTTTGTAAATAGAACTTTACTGAGTGTTTTTTTTATCATTTCACGTAAGAGAACAGCAGTTTGGACACGCAGATCCCTTTGATATCTTGTTTCAATAGTCCCATTGGGAGAGTGTTCTTATAGGTATGCATCGGCGACTCGCAGGTCGCGGTATATAGTAGGTAGCAGACATATTTTCTACTCGCAGGTCCTATGGTATATAGACATAAGTGTGCATTTGATTGTTAACTTATGTTTATCGCGGACCATACGAGGGTCAAAGTAAAAGAGGAAAACCTCACCCAACCCCAAGGAATGATGGGCGTATAAGATGCGTAAATGTCAGAAAAATCCGTGACCCAACATGAGAAATAATTCAGAGTGATACCTTCAGTGTGTAAAGGCATTAAATTGAAAATAACGTAACAATAAATACCATAAAGTAAACAGTATGGACATAAATGCTTGCGACAACTGCTGGGAAGACCACGAAGGGTCTGGCTTATGATGCCTATGAGAGATTATTGCACATCAATACAACTATACATATAATTCAAAATTCCAGACCTAGAAGGCCAGATGTGCATGTATGCAAGGTTTATTTAAAAAAAAAATGTCTGCCTGACCTGATTTACACATGGACAAAATTTAACAGTGAACAGTTTGTAAAGAAAATACTGTAAAAACATATTATACGATACACTAATGTTGACCCCCCCATAGCATAATATACGGTATCCAATAACAAAGAACGTAACAAAACTGTTGTATAACATGCAAATGTATAGACCAGTCAGGAAACCCATATAATAGATAAGCCCCTAAAAATAGAGTGAATTGAATTCGCCTCATATGAACTTATTTCCCAAAATTAAGTGAACAAGACTTATGAACTATGCAAAGTAAATATCAAAATAACCTAACAAAATAATTTGTTCCATAGCAAAGAACCGATTCAACATCTATTGCACAAAAGTACCAAAATCATCATACTTCACAATTACCTGAAAAACTAGGATTTTCTCCCGAACTGAGCAATGCTTGACAGTTCAGGAGGAACATACCAAATGGTAAATACAAACACACGAACAGTCTAAAGTCCCCCTTGACCAGAGCTCAAGAACTCGAACGTCAAGGACAAACTAAACAAATAACCGAACAAAAACATAATTGTAATTTATGCAAATGCAGACTTCAGGGCTTAAGTATACGAATGCAAGAGGCAAAGCGCCGAACAGTTAGAACCCATAGAAAGTGAAATGACTAAGTGAACGTTCACTTATACGAACGACGGGAAAACAAACGAAAACATACGAAACCTGCGAAATGCCAGTAAGGCACGAAAACTCCAAAAGGAGCCGAACACCGTTCATGAACAGAGGAAAACCGGGGGAAGCTCCAGCAGCAGGCACACGAAAGAACACCTTGTGTTACCTGCAAAAAAAGACGAGATTGGATACAGGAAACGACTGGCAGCGAGGCTCTGAAGCAGATGGAGGCAGCTATCGATACGGACAGCAGTCGATTTTGTGTAGACAAGTAGTAGGATGCTGGAACAAGGTGTATTCAGGAAATGTTTGTGGTAACCAAGGTAATGTATCACCTGAACGGGCACGGCCCAGGTAAGAGGGTGATTGGGTTTTTTATAGGTCAACAATAGATTTGAACTCCTCCCACAAATACAGGCCTATGGCCTTAAAACATATAAGATACATTGAGATCTTTTTGAAGCTCCCTGACAGCAACCTCATCTTGTAGGGAATAAATAAGTCCCTCCAGAAAAGAAGTAACTAAAACCACTGTTATACCTTATCTACCTCAAAAGCCTGAAATTGTATAGCATAATTGCCCACACTGCTAGCTCTGCCGGTGTCTCAAACACTTTATGGAAAGTGGATACAAACTCAGAGTTTTTGAATATTACAGGCTTATTCTTTTCCCACAGTGGATTGATCCATGCCAATGCTTTACCAGTAAGACAATCCCTTATGAACCCATCCTTCAAATGATCAGTAGGAAAGGATCTAGGATATGTTTTGAAATAATTTTCCACTTGGATAAGGAAATGCATATCTAGGAGGAGGTGAAATATGGGTGGAAGGAGCATAAAATGGAGAAGGTTCAGCCATGACAGGCATATGAGAGGGCGATAAAGGAGTTTGATTCCCAGGAGATAAATATGCTGTGCATGTTAATGTGGTCTGTAAAGCTGTAAGGAAGAGGAGGTGTACACTAAGGGACAGGAGGGAAGAGGAGATCAGTAAGGGACAGATGGGAGTGAAAGAGATCATTAAGGGACGGGGGGAGTGGAAGAGACACACAGAGAGATGAAGAAGGAACGAAAGAGAAGAACAAAGGGTTTGGTAGGGGAGAAAGAGACACACATAGGGACTCGGGGGGGCGGGGGGGGGAACACACAGAGGGGCCTGGGGGTGAAAGAGACACTGACAAAGGAACTGGGAAGAGTAAAAGAAACGAATGGGCTGGGGGAAGTAAGACAAGCAAAGAGGTTGTGAGGGTGAAACATACAAAGAGACACACCCTTGGTTACCCAAACATCAGCCAAGACTTGATGAAGGGTACAACAGAAATGTCTTTATTCAGGGCCACACAAGGCCTTCGTATGCAAAAGTCCCCTACAAGGGGTTTCCAACACAAACATGCAGGGTCTTTTCTCCCAAGATCCTCTGTGCCTGAGGGATAGTTGCGTGAGGAAGCCTCTTTAATTTAAATATCCCTCAGGTACAGAAACATCTATAATAGTTCCCAACACCCTGCAAACACATTTCAACATTTTAAAAGGGGTTAATTGATTGCCTGGAAGGTCTGAGCTTGCAGCCCAAGTTCCTCTTTGAAGCTGGAACTCACATAGGGCTATTCTGTAAGGTGTGAGAAGTCACACATAAGTGGCCTGGAAGTATGGGCTCTGCACAAACCACTTCTCACATCTGCCCTATGTCTTGCTTGCCTCTCAGACAGGAAGTCCTTTGATATGGTAATGATCATTAGCTTTCAAGAAGAAAAAGAAACAGTTGCTTAACCCAATTATCGCCCAGGCACTAGAGTTACAGGTCATATCCCAACGAGATACTAACAGTTACCAACAGATTGTATCTCATATCCTGAAACATCAACCTTTGGGTCCAGCATGCAGTTATAGTCGCCGCAAATAAATAAGAATGTGTATAGTGGGCAGAACAAACTAGCCCTGGGGAGTGGAGACAGATGGACAGGAAAAGAGATGTAAAACAAACAGGAGATCTCTACTGGTAAAGAAAAGCCCCCATAAAAGCTAAAAAAGAAAAATCTTACCAGTTAGTGCAAATGGAGAGACTACAAATGTCTCAACTGATATATATAATTGCAAGGTATAATATCATAAACGTGAATCGCTGATGTTAACAGACCTTAAAATCAATTGAAGGCTGTTTAAAATAAATATGCATACACTAGATGGCAGCCTAACAAAGAGGGACGGCAGTGTAAACAAGCTCTTCTACTAAACAGTGAAAGTATACAGAATAAAACAATATTGTAAAAAACTCTTAAGGTTTTCTACCAAGAGTATATGTGTAAAACAAAACAGAAGAGGTCTTTCAAAACTGCTAAGTAGTCCAAATGAGGTCCAAATTCAATGAATAAGTGATGAAATCCAGTAATTGCTTGTAGTGTGCAAAGTCCTTAAAAGTAACAGTGTCACAACCTGTATCATATGCTTCTGCTAAATGGAATAACAGTAGCAAATAAATATCAGGTTTCAATATAATTTGACCAATACTGGTAAAGATGATAGATGGTAGCAACAAACTAGCCGTTACTATTATACCACCAATGCAGGTATATAGTAATAGGATCTTGAAAGATCAGTGATGATTTTAAAAAAGTCCAAGGGATTTTAAATAAAATTCCATATTTATTATAAATGAAATTAAAATTGAAATTGAAACACACATACAAATCAGATTTGAAATAAAAGTCCCATGATTATACCTTGCAATTATATATATCAGTTGAGACATTTGTAGTCTCTCCATTTGCACTAACTGGTAAGAGATCTCCTGGTACGCGTAGGTTTTATTTCTCTACTACTATTTATTGACCGCAAATATATAGTTTGCCTTGTTTATATTTCTCAATGCATTTTATCACTTTCTGTAAAAAGCTTATTTGGTTACAATTTGGTGGCTATATGTTTGCTATTGTTACTTTTTCCTCACCTAAGGAACCCACCAAAATGAGTAATCTATCTTCCTTATCTTTATATTCTCTATCGCATTTAAATGGCTACATGAAATAACATACTCACTCCCTTTGTTTTATTTTTGGCATAGGCATGGTAGCTGATCGGGTATCTAGGCGAGGTGAGAACTGGGAGTCTCTGAGCACAAAAGTGTGTTTCCTGCAAGCACGCAACCACCACCTGTGATTTGCGCAGTTGCTGGAACAACAATCTCCTTTAATGGGGAGTATTAAGACCATTCACATTGAATGTTAGGATATTAAAGTAGTGAGCCATATTATATCACTGTTTGACCTCGTTCCTAACTCTATAACACTCTATAGGCTTTATGTTTACTCCGTTTGGTCATAAGAGATCTTGTAGTTTAGTTTTTATCTTGTTTACATACATAATTAAGAAATTACTGATATAAAAAAATCTCATATACTCGTAAGTACCCAAAACCAAAAAACAAACAAAAAACACATATATACTTAAAAAAAAAAAAGTTAGACAAATCGTCTTAATCTTGCAGGTCTGCCCAACATAAAACATTGGTGGTTGATTACCCCTTAGGGTATAACCTACTTGAGGGAGTGATTGAAAATGAAAATGCGGGAGACAAGCCATCTTCTGCTTATATATTATATACATCTGCCTGGCTTTTAAATCTGTAGCATAGTTATCTCTATACAAAAGTTTTCCTTTCCTTTCTTTTAAATTCTTTCCCCTTCTTTCTTCCTCTCTTTGGGGTGGGGTCAGAGGGATCAGAGGAGGAAGAGAGGAAAAGGAAGAAGAAGAAGAAAAATATATATACATCCCCTTTTCTCCTCCTTTTCCGGTTCCCCCCATCTCCCCTCCAGCTTTTGGAAAGGTAAATAAATTAAGTATAAAATAATGGAGTATCTCTAACTCCTACCCTCCCCTTAATCATCCAAGCATCTAACGCCTTAAGTATAATATAATAGAGTCTCTCAAACTCCTACCCTTCCTTTAATCATCCAAGCATCGAAGGCCTTCCCTTGCCACCATTTTACATTGTATGCAGTAGTTCACCAAGACCTGGTTTGTAACAGACACTAGTTTTAAAATGTTTTGCCTTCAATCCTTTATATATTTTTCAGTTCAACCGTAAATGAATGTGCTATTTCCACTTCTTGTGACCAGCTATTTATCATTACGCACTGTCGTCCATTCTGGTAGCATTTTTCTCACATGCGAACTGTCCACTGTTTCTAATGGAGTCCCTGTTCGACCCCATTTATGTAGTATTTGTAGTCCTTCAGGGTCTTCTATCTTCGTCATAACTCCGTTTCTTCAAATCAGCAATTAAGTTGGAAATCCCCATCTGTAGGTCACATTATTATGTCTTAAGTGTTTAGTAACTCTTAGGAAATCTCTTCTTCTAGCCATAGTCATAGCAGATAAGTCCAAAAACAATAAGATATGCGAGTATGCTGACGGCATTGTTGTAGTCCTCCTTTGGGTGGATAAAATCTTCTCTTTTGTGCTTAAGTAGTGTAGCCTCATCACAATATCTCTGGGATCCTCTGTAGTTAAAATTTTAGGCTTTGGCACCCTATGTGATCTATCAAACCGCAAGTCTTCTGTAGTAACAGTGGGAACTATTGCCTTGAACAGCTTGACTAAATAAGGTGGTATATCTGCCCTATGGACTGTTTCGGGCACACCCCTAACGAAGATATTGTTGCATCTAGACCTATCCTCTATATCTGCCATATTTCCCTGGAGTTTTCGATTGCTTCCATTTTAAGTTTTTTCCTAATTTTTTTTGTTGTTCTCGCAAAGCTCATCCATTTTTTCTTCCAGGGCAGATGTCCTTGTGCCCAGATCAAAGACATCCTTCACCCACTTCAGAGTGATATGAGGGAGATCTCGCAGTGCTTCCAGCACCCTGCTCTGTTCTTCCTCTGTTTCTCTTATTTGTTTTAAGAACTCATGTTGTCTCTGTGAGTTCTACGGCGCCATCTGGTGGTCGTGTAGGTGGTGCTGAAAAACTGTATTAAATTTATGCAGTACTAAGTTGATACAATGTTGAGGTACTATTACAATATATATATATATATATATATATATATATATATTATTTGCCTTTCTTTTCTCTTCCTTTCCTTTCTCTTTCTTCTCCTTTTCTTGTTCTTTTCCTTTCTTTCTTCTCTTTTTTTTTTTTTTTTCCTTTTCTCTTCTGTCAGGATTGATCCAGCACATAGAATTGTATCACACAGAGGACTGATAGGTAACGTATTACCATGCCTTAGAATGGCCGGACTAACGTACCTAACATAGTCAGGATGCTAGCCGAGGTCAGATAGGAACACAGCGATAAAGGAAAGCCAGAGGTCAAGGATACCAGAAATACAGGGAAGTCAAAATCAAAGCCAAAGTCAAAAACCAGAAGAAACTTGAATCAGGAACACTCTCTTGGACAACCACTAGTGAAACCGCAACAGGGCAATGAGGAAAGGTAATTTTAAGTTTAAATACCTGCTTCACCTTTTCAATTGACTGAGATCGCTCCTTGACCCTAAAACATACGCGCGCAGCACGTGCGTAACGTCACGTGCACGCCAACGTGCACGTCAACGTCGTCAATCACATGAGCGGACGTGGGGGTACAATTAGCCGCGGATCAGCAGAGGCCGGCGTCCATTAACATGCCGCAAGTGTTAGTCAAGCAGATGCACAGCCGCTGACCGCAAGGTGAGGAAGAATATGTTACATCTTCCCCTTTTTCTCTTTTTTCCCCTCTTTCTTTTTGTTCAGTGATATATTGTACTACTTCAACATAATATGTAGTTTTAATCTAGTAAATTTTAATTTGCTGTTCACTCCTTTCCCCTACTCAATCTCTTCACATCGCTTCAAATCGCTTTTGGTCTTTTAGATTATTTTTATCCTTTGTATCCTTTATGTCACTTTGTCATTGCTGCAGCTGCGTTTTGGATCACTTTTGAATCACTTTAATTTACTTTAAATTATTCCTAAACGTTTGAAGCACTTTGCAGCGCTTTACAATACTTTGCAACATTCCAAAGCATTTTGTAACACTTTAAAGCACGTGCAACCTTCTATGTAACACTTTGAAGCACTTCTATCCACGAGAAATGATAAAAAAAAATAACCATAGCAAACTACTACAAGAAGTACAAGATACATTAAAACGCTGGGATAAGAGCACCAGATCATGGGTGGGATGGCTTAATTCTGTTAAAATGTGCATAGTACCACAGATCTTATTTCTTTTTAGATCCATAATGATTCCTAAATCAATTATAACAAACTTTCAGACAACAATAAATGCTCATATTTGGAAACGAAAACCCCCAAGGATATCATTAGATACAATGAGCTGCAAAATGACAGAGGGTAGAATGGGAGTATTCAAAAATATTACATAGCATCCATACTGGCACAAACAGCAGCACTAATAGATACATCTAGTATACCTCTATGGCATTGTTCCACAATAAGAGATATTGGATCTCAGTTGGACAACACATTGCGCTCATCTTAGAAATCATAATTTCCTATCCAGAACACAAATCTCTCTGAGGTTGTGGAGATACTGGGCCCCTAAACTTCTGGGGAAAAGCAATTATTTTTATTATGGAACTCTGCAAAGTTTAACTTACTATACAAAAGATTTAAACATAACAACATGGAGAAAGAAAGGGTTAACAAAAACCTGACATCTAATATCAGGCTCAGATATACATCAATTCCCAAACATACAAATTAAATACATATCTCAGAGTGAAACATTTTTTATTTTTTTTAAATAAATAACTTTTATTGTATCTCCATATAAAAAGACATGACAATCAAACGTATCCATGTAACAGTAATGAATCATACTTTGGTAGACATTTTCTTTCTGCATTATACGTTTGCTTACATGACATAAATAACTACATACAATAATGACAATGTACAAATTGTTATTTTCCACTCTTATAATGGGAATAGACTGTGTGACTACGGTTCCTCCAATTCCTGTAGCAATGGAGGTACTGTAGTTATCATTCTAATTATGCTTTGCATTGTCGTAAAAGTTACACAGAATCTTACATACATAAAGGTACAAAATAGGCATCACAACATGGGTATAATATACCTCCCATACAATCTAGTGGGGGGGGAGGGGAAGGGGCCCAAGCGCGCTGCGGTGGTGGAGAGGGGAGCATTTCGTTTAGTAGTGTTAAATAATTAAGGTTAATCTAAAGCAAACCAGACGCGACTATAAGTTTACCTTTCGTGCCCAGTTGGATAACTCAGGGTCGGTCAGACCTATTATAATATTCAAACCATCTGGACCAAATTTTATTATATTTGTGTTAAATGGTTTTTATTTCGTAAACATATGTTTAGCGCACATATAACATGGTCAAACATTTTCTGCATCATCGCCTATGCAGAGGCTCTGCTCGTTTAGCAAAGGCAGTAGTAAATGCACCTACGCAGAGGCTATCTTTAGTAATATTTTGCATTTTTGTAGCGTTTTATGTGCTACTTGCGTAATAACATGGTTATTTTCGACAGTGGCCTATTTCTGCATGCAATAGTAAACAAAACCTATATAGCCATGTATGGGTCGGCATGTAGTGTGTGTAGGGTCTGTAGTGTTAAGTGTGTGGATCCCAGGGATCCTCGTCGTTTGCAAATTTTATTATATTTGGAGATATTACTGTTGTTAAAAAAAAATTTTTTTCCATAACTCCTTGATTATTGATTTGATCTAAAATGTCTGTTCCAGACGGAATATTTGTACTCTTCCAATATCAAAACATATTTTAATGAAACTTCAAGTGAAAGAGGTGGAAGATTCTAGGGTGAATGATTTTGGGAGGCAATGTTTGGGGAGACAACCCCAAGTTAAGCCTCTCTCAATAAGCTACAGAGGAATATTAAATCTAGAAAAACCTGAGAAACTGCTTTTTATGTTAAATTGGGAGAAGAAATTAAATAATGAGTGGGAGCCCTTACAATGGTATAGGGCTAGAGATCAACTAAGTTTGCCACATATAATATACAACACATAGAAGCAACATACAAAATGTGGCTACGTTGGTGCATGACTAGTGATATCCCGAACGGTTCGCCGAACGGTTCGCCACGGACGGCGAACATATGTGCTGTTCGGTCTGCCCCCTATTGACATCATTGAGTAAACTTTGACCCTGTAAATCACAGTCAGCAGACACATTCCAGCCAATCAGCAGCAGACCCTCCCTCCCAGATCCTCCCACCTCTTGGACAGCATCCATTTTACATTCATTGTGAAGCAGCATTCTTAGTGAGCTGTCCAGGAGGTGGGAGGGTCTGGGAGGGAGGGTCTGCTGCTGATTGGCTGGAAGGTGTCTGCTGACTGTGAGGTACAGGGTCAAAGTTTACTCAATGATGACGAATAGGGGACGGACCGAACAGAGCATATGTTCGCCGTCCGTGGCGAACCGTTCGGTGAACCGTTCGGGACATCACTATACATGACACCTCAAAAATTGGCACAAATATATCCAGAGAACATGGGGACTTGCTGGAGATGTGGGGAAATGGAAGGATCTGTGACACATATATTTTGGCAATGTAAGAAGATTATTGATGTATTGAAACACATTCAACAACTAATTTTTAAAGTTACAAACACACTGATGCCCTTGCAACCAGAAATATTCCTACTACACATTATTCCAGAGAGAATACTGTTACAAGAAAAAGTGCTGATTGTACATATTTTAATGGCTACAAAAAATGCTATAGCCAGTTTATGGAAAACAAAACAGGTGCCATCATTAAGTATGATAAGGGAAAAGATTTCTATCTCTAAAACCTACGAGGAGATGGCATATAGGCTTAAAGGCAAACAAGATATCCATGATAAAATCTGGGCGAGGTGGAAATGAAATGAGAGGAATTAAGAGCAAATGAGGGGAAATTAAAAAGCAAAACAGCTTCATAAATACAGATGGCTAATATAATTTAAAGGAGACAATATAAAACAAATGAGAAAAGCCTTCCAAAGTGATTGAGATTGAAGCAGCAAGAGCTGATTGATATAGACGTTTGATTGGGAAATTCATAAATTAAATTAAATTGGAAATGTAGATACATAAAAGAAATAATTACTACAATTAATTTTTACTTTTACACATTCGGACGAAAACTGAAATAAATAACAGACAGATCAATTTATAGATAGAGCAGGAGGGAATAAAATGTAATTCAACAAGAATTAGGATATGTATAAAGTGTAGAAGGGATAAGACAGAAATGCTTATTGAAAATAAGGGTGTGCTGGTGATTGGAAGATATAAAAAGGCTATGAAAGTGTTACTGAAGTTGAAAATAAGTCAGAATAGATCGGAGGATGTATAATGTAAAAGATGGCAATATAATATTTTGTATGGTATTTTTCCTTCTCTTTTTGTATATTGTTTTCTTTCTTATTTATTTATTTATTTTAAAAAAATTCTGAAAGAAATGTTCTCTGTAATTTGGAAAAGCTAAATAAAAATGTAAACATAAAAAAAAACCCAATTACCTACAGAGTAATAACTATGCCTCATTTCTATTACATTCAGAATGGGACAAGCACAATCGTCTAATCAACCCAAACAGATATGGGGATCCCCAGCATGATCACCTGAAAACAATAGCAGGCCAGCAAGGAGCACATACAAGGGGCACATACAAAAATTATATTAACAAAATAAATATAATAATAAAAAATAAAGATCTGCTCCCCTCTCACCCCCTGCAAGACTCCTGCAAGGTCCTATCCTACCCCACAAACTCTCTCTTTCACACTACACACACATATACACAATGCATCCTTACACATACACAAAAACATACAATGCATCCCTACTCACACACAGACACACAGAAACATACATTGCATCCCTACACACACACAAACACACCATGCTTCCCTTACACACACAGAAACACACAATGCATCCCCCACCCACACACACACAGAAACACAATGCATCCCTTGCATACAGACACAGAAACACACAATGCATCGCTTACACAAAGAAACATACAATGCAAATTCCCATCTTAATTCCCTGTAATTCTCTCTTTATTGAGTAGATCCTATAATCATCACTATGATAAGTAAGCGGAGATTAATTATGTGGGTTGTGCAGAGTGGGCAGAGCTTTGGGCAGCGGGTGTGTTAAATTTTCAAGTACATAATTGATAGCTGTGCCCAGGGCCGGATTAACATACGGGCTGATGGAGCTGCAGCTCCAGGCCCAGGCCCATGGAATAGGCCCATTTAAAAATTTTTTTTTTTTTTTACACACACACTACTGTTAGGTTTGCCACCTGACTGGTGTTTTACCAGCACACCTGGTATTTGAGGCTGCCTGACCGTGCTGGTATTGCAGTAATACCGGCAATACAAATGCAGGTATTTTTCTCAGTATAAACGGAGATTACTCTGCAATACCAGCACTAACCAGTAGGGGTCACTGTGTGTGGAAAGAGGCAGGGATAGGAAGTTACAGCATATCACTCCCTGCCTCTCTCTACTCACTGATCCGCAGGGGAGCAGCTACACAGCACAGAGAGGCCAGACAGCAGCTCCCAGCCTACAGAAACAGCCTACAGCTCAGGTAAATGAAGGATGGGGGGGAAAGGCAGCAGGGAGACATGGGGACACTGAGACATTAGGGGACACTGAAAAACTAGGGGACACTGTGAGATATGGGGATGCTGAGACACATGGGGACATTGGGAGACACACTGAGACACAGAGGCACGTGGGACACAGTGTCCCCATGCCTCCAAGCCAGTGTCCCTATTGTCTCAGTGTCCCCTAGTCTCCCAGTGTCTATGTCCCCATGTCTCTCAGTGTCCCTAGTGTCTCAGTGTCCACATGTCTCCCAGTGTCCCCAAATGTCTGTGTCCCCATGTCTCCCAGTGTCCACATGTCTCCCAGCCAGTCCCCCTTGTGTCTCAGTGTCCCCATGTCTCCCAGTGCCCCTATGTCTCCCAGCCAGTGTCTCTAGTGTCTGTGTCCCCATGTCTCCCAGTATCTGTGTCCCATGTCTCTCAGTGTTCCTAGTGTCCCCAAATGTCCACATATCTCCCAGTGTCCCCAAGTGTCTCCATGCCTGTGTCTCCATGCCTCCCAGCCAGTGTCCCTAGTGTCTTAGTGTCCCCATGTCTTCCAGTGTCTGTGTCTCTGTGTCCCTAGTGTCTGTGTCCCCATTTCTCCCAGTGTCCACATTGACTTCCTGCTTCACTGGACACTGCTGTTAGGGGGTATGGATTTACTTGAAAGATTAAAGCATAAATTAGAGAGAGATTAGCATAGAGTGTGTGTTTTCTTAAAGCTGCATCCTTTGAGTTTCCCTCCAACACCATCTCCATTAGATACTTGACGCTTGAGAGGTATGACTAAGATTCTTGTCATGACTGCTAGTGTGGTCCATCACGCAGAACTATGTAACATCTACATAAACCGAACAGAAAATGATAAAACGTAAACCGGTCCTTAGAATGGCCGGACTAATACTTTAAAAACAGAGAATGGTCAAGGGAGCCAGAAATATACAATACCATTTAACAAGCCAAGTCAGGGAAGCCAGGAATCAGAATAGTCAGGAATAGCCAAGGTCAAAATACTGGGAATATCAAAAACAGGACAAGGAAACACACTCTCAGGATTCAGGAACCAGGAACGAAAACCACGACAGGGCAATAACCTAGGTTAAATATCCCTCTGACTGCAGAACGTGTGTGTGTGTGACCCTGGGGGGCAGAGCTATATCTAGCTGCGACCGTGTGTTCGGCACCATCTTGAACCCGGGCAGGCAGCCGGGAGAACCTGGCAGAGCGGCTCCCAACTCGCTGCTGAGCAGGTAAGTTCAGTTCGTTGGCGCGGTCGCACTGGTCCGGTGCGACCGCACCTCGCGGCGAACCGGGGGCCGTGACATTTCTGTAATTAGGCCCCATCATAATTGTCAGCACCAGGCCCACTGGGCTCTTAATCTGGCCCTGGCTGTGCCTCAAAGTGACCATGGAACGTATTTTCACATGTTGACAACTATGCATAATGTCAAAATTCTCTCAGGTAAATAGCCTGTGATATCGACTTTATATAAATATATGCGTTTTTGTGGCAATTGTGTTTTCTGTGATGGCTTACAAGACAAACATGAAAATCTACAATCGCTCTACATTGAAATTTCCTTTTACTCCTTGTATTTTGTAACCTGCAACTATCAAAAATAAACTGAAATTATTTTGAATTACTTTTCATAAACTGCACTTATTCTGCAAAAATTAATATTGCCTAAACTGTTAATTTTTGTGTTGCGTGTTTGTAATATTTTTGTATTATAAATGAGGCATTATATATGTATATGTCACATCAAATTAAAACCCTTCCTGTTGTTTAGCAAATTATATATAATATGTATGGGGAACTTGAAGAGAAACCCTTAAATTACAGTGGAACAAATCTATAGCTCAAAATCATAGTCTTAAGTGTATGTGAATTTTTTGTAAATACATCATTTGAAAACTTTTTTCTAACATATTGGAATCATTTTGTTATTTTAGCCTTAATTGAATATTGTAAGATAAGCTTTTCAAATAATTTCATATATTTGGATAAACGTATTTAATATTATAAAAAGAAATTTAAAATGTTGTAACATTTATCATTTTTTTTTAAATTCTTTATTTTTTGTTGTGCGTGCAGTAACAGTAAGTCAGCCACAATAGTGTCGCAAGCAGAATGATAACAGGTATAATAAGTTTGATATGGCATTTGAATAGACAGCACAAATTTTTGGTTATGATGGTATGAGGGTTAGACAGTGGGAAAACATAACATATAAGATGCAAGCGTTGTCTTCAGCATTTGTAATACACTCTGTGAAGGTTATGCGTTTAACGATTATAACTAAGCAGGCTTAGGTAGCCCCACGCCTATAGCGCCTTGCATGCAATCAAAATTTTTAACGGTAAGTAAACAGGCTGTAGCATTTTTTAAGTGTCGGCGGACCCCTCTCTCAAGATGATACTGCACTATTATGAACAATGAGTTAATGAGACTAGCGTAATGGCCAACATATTGATTAAAGCAATGTAAGAGGCAAAGTGAAAAATCAGTTAATATATACATTTCTAGTGGTCTGTAGCATAAAGATGAGCGTTTAAACATTAGATTGTCTGTGTATGCTAGACTGACACAATTTGGTATAATTAGGTTACCGCTCTCATTGCTAGTGTGTTGATTGTCCCAAGGGCTATACCCCCCGCTGATACCTGGTGTAGCTGGTGTATGTATCTAATTGTTGGGGCTTTGATGGGTAGAGCCTACACTCTGCTGTAGGTCTGTGGGTATATGTGTGGTGAGCCTGTAAGAGCTTGTGTAATTTGCATCTGTGATGGAGGCAGCAGTCCTAGAGTTCATGTGGCTGCCCCTTTATCGTGTCCGTCAGCTGATGCCCTGCGGGGTCTTGTGGGCCTCTTGTGCTGGTGCATGCTTCGATGCCTGCGGTCTGATAATGTGGGAGCGGGATATCTCTACATGATGAGGTGGCCCTCTTGGCAAGTAAAGTATAGTCCCGGTTGTGGGTCCCACCTTTTGGTGTGGTCGTCGGCTGCATCTGTAGCGGTGAAGTTGGTCTGCCGCTGATGCCATTTTGGGCCTCGTAGGCTGCCTCTTTCTTGGTCGGTTGTGTTGGCCTTTGCCCTTCTTGTGCTGAGACGCTTCTGGCAAGTGAGGTGGTGTTTGGCACTGCATCATGGGGGTGTTGTTGATTTTCCTCACCTTTGTCTGGTGGCCTCTGTTGTTGGCGTGGTTCTGGGCATCTGTCACCCGAGTGGCCCTTCTCAGGTGCTTGCTTAGCCTGGGGTGAGAGTCTGAGTGTCTCTCTTTTGGGTCTCCTGTGGCGGGCCTTGTGGTGTGCCATCGGCCAGGTTCTTTGATTCCGGGGGCCACATAAGCCTCTCTAGCTTCCCCCGAAAGGAGCAGAATATGTAATTTAGTCGGAGCTCTGTGTCCCTCCAGACTTTGTTTAGGACTGCATTGTGTGTGCCATTCGCCATTTTGTAGTCCCCACCCGCGGCCTCCATATTGCCTGTTCGGGTTGTCGGGCTTCCTCTTGTCAGGGGGATTGTGTGGGGGTGGTCCGGGATAACCCCCGCTGGACCAGAGGGGGGAACAAGGGTTCCGTGGCAAATTTCTCTCCCGCGTCAGCCATGATGGGAGGCCTCGCCAGGGTATCGGGTGTATGCCGGAGCAATAGTCGCTTGGAGGGTATAGTTGAGTGCTTCCCGGTGTCCCCCTTCGCCTAGCAGTCTTTTATTTGCCATTTGGTTGCCGTTTTCGTCGCGTAGTGTCGTTTTTTTCTGCCGCCTTTGGCCGGAGCTGTTGAGGCTAACGTCCTGTCGGCTCCATGGTCAGGCCCCGACCGCCGTAACATTTAGAATTTATTACATTTTTTAAATATATTTTTTGGTATTTTAACATTTTGAAAAAAAAAATAATTTGAAAAGTTTATCCATAAATATTAAACTGAGTCCTTGAGTCTTTAAATGTACTGGAGTAGCCCTGTCTCTTAGTCATGCCCCTAAAATTATAGTGTCTCTCTTTTGTCTCTTAAAATGTTGAAAAGTATAACATTGGGTAATAAAAAAGAAAATGGCAAGAAAAAGCAAAAGGTAATTGCTAATTTCAAACTGTTCATATACAGTAACAATTATGAGCAGCTAGATTTTGGGAATTATTACATGAAAAATAAATCAACATGTTTAATTAATGTATAAATGAAATGGACTTTTCAATTTTCCTGAATTTTTTATAATTGAATTAGATCATATGAATCTTAAACCTTTGACCACATTAACTCTATGAACTGTGGCAAACAATTGGTTTCCAAATCAGTCACTACTGTTTAAGGCTCAGAACTTAATTCCACTCTCTTGCCTGTTGTAAAGACTCAACTACAGCTAACTCTAAGCTATATCCTATAGGAAAAATACATGTCAGCTATATGACATTACATTTAAACCAATCTTAGTGTTTTCCTCTCTTCCCCCTATATCTCTTTCCTCTTCTCTTGCAATTTTTAAAATGTAGTCCAAATAGTAGATCTGGAAAATTCTCTAATCAGGCTATGTTAGACAAAAGTCTAATTGTGCTTCAATTTTGCCATTCAGATTTCAATTTACTCAAATTTAAAGTTAACCGAATAAACACTATAGTTAATCATTTGCTTCAAATGTTTCCACCGATATCTCTGTAATCAGAAGTCTTTTTCTTGTCTCTCCTCTTAATCCATTTTGCTAACCTCTAGATTTTAGTTTAATTAATTTTCCTGAACCTCCCTCCCTAACTTTTTTTTTGTCAATCTTTATTTTTGTAGTGCAGAGATGAACAGACAAGCTGACAATAACATATCAATAACACTATACAAAATAAAAGAAGTCACCAAAGTAATACTTGATACATTAAGAATGTGCAATTTTATTTGCTTTGTATGATAAGGCCAAAATATTCAAACAGGTGTGTGTTAGAGACATGCAAGATAAACTAAACAGGTAAGACAGATCAGTTCACCACACTGCGTGAGACTTTTAAAATAAGCTCATGTTGGACATATAGCTAGGGTGATGAAGTTTTAGTACCACTGGATATTGGGAATAATCAGGAAAATAACACAACAAAGAAGATATCATAAATCACTGCAATTCTAATAGAGCAAATACTATTTGTATACAGAGATATCTTCAGCTAGGAGTCATCCGACCCTACAAGCAGGCCACAACAGAAAGCCAGTCTCTATGCCCGGCATGATGTCACTTCTTGCCCCTTCACAGAGCTTGTTAGGTATCTAGATTTCATGTAGTTAGCCTAGGCCTTGATGGGAGCCGTTTCCCTATGTCCAAGGATCCTCTTACTCCAAGGTGCCGGATTGAAGCCCTCCAGGAACTCCATGTCACAAAGAGCCCTCTGGGACTCTAGGACTCTGGGCTATGGGAAGAATTGCTGCTCCAAGTGAAAGAAGAACCATGAGCTGTAGTATTGGCTTGTGTCTGTGATTTGGTACTTGTAGTTAGGAAGTGATATCGGCTGTTAATATAGTCCCAGATCACCCAACAAATCTTTTGCATCTAAGAGTTCCTTCCATGTCTGACCTTTCCATTCTTCTTTACTCTGCTGGAGTTTTAGTGCAGTGGTCATCATAGACACACCACATGGTCTCTGGAACAGCAAGAAATTCTTCCAATAGTGCAGATTGAGTATCTTTCCCAGCGGGGACGGAAATATCCCCCAAAAGAAGAGGGGGCAACAGGGTTTTGCTTCAACAGAGCATAGCTCAAGTTGAGAGATTGTTCGCCACTTTCAGCTTTTAGGTCGTCAGTCGGTTAGGTCTCAATGACGATCAAGATAAGTATCTGATGAAGCAGCATGGTTTGAGCCAGTCTTTTTGTTTTCTAGACTCACAAACATTGGCAGCAGTCCACAATGTACTGTCATGGCTAGCTTGAATGTGAGCATGGTCAGGATAAAAGATGTTATGTCACAACCTCTTTCTCATTCAGCAACCTATAATTAGAGAGCAGAGTCAATATCTGTGTCACAGGATCATGCAGACATATTGCTGCCTCACTGTTATGTCTTGTTCACCTAATAGAATTGCTCTGTGTGCAGAGTCTCTTTATCCTTTTGTTAAGTCCTCTCCTGCCCTTTCACCTCTGCTTGAAATCTAGATTCTACTGCTCTACCTTGATTGGTCATATCCATTAGTCATGTGTCCCATGACTCCAGAAAGAGCAAACCAGTCCCTTGCAGTGGCTTCTTGCAACATTCTCAAGTAAATGTAGGGCCACAAACACAAAACTATGAGAAAATCTTTCAGTCTCTGTCTATGTTTTTGTGTTTCTTCTAAAAAACTAACAATATGCAACGTTTCAGCCCTAAACATGCATGTTATATATGTTCCAAATGTGGTATTCACAGAAATTCTATGTTATGTCAGATGTTTTCCTGCAAATGCTAATTTTTAAAAAAAGTCACACACATACATATGTGTGTGTGTGTAGATAAATGGATAGATAGATATACAATCAAAATCATTGAAAATTAAGATTATTGTCAAAATTGACAGACTTTCAGCGGTTTGCAATGAACAAAACAATTAAAATATATCTCAACACAAAGAATGCTTTGAGTCAACACAATGAATGCTTTGAGTGGTTTCAAATTCAACAGAAAAATGCAACTTATTATGATTTCTCCAGTCTCACAATTTTTACACCCCTTCATGGAAACTATCTTTGGTGCTTACAAACAAGATGCATAGCCATACACCAGCTTCTGGCAGTGTTCCTGAGCAATCTTAGCCTATTAGGTTTGCGTGCAGCAACCGCCTTCTTCAAATCCCACCAGAGATTTTCTATGGGTTCAAGTCTATTCTGGAACGCCCACTCCATCTGCAGCAGTATGAAATCAACAGCCATACACGACCTTTTCATCTCAAATTGTTTTGCGCTACTTGCACTCACTGAGACCTAACCATCCCCTCTGATAGCCCTACTCCTGCTTCTTTATGTTTCAGTGGGCTACAATTCTCCCACACTCCCAAACCAAACAACTGTAAAGAAGGTGGTGTAGGCCTCAACCAATCTTCCCTGCTCATGCCCTATGTTTTCCTTCCTTTGAAGTTCACACTGTCCGCCTATTTAAGCCCACTCCTCTAAGAATTGCCATCAATTTAGACTCCACCCCCCCCACCGGTCATCCTAGGCTATTTATTTAACACTCTTCTTCCTGGCTACCCCATTTCCTCTTCTCTAGCACTTCTTCCCTCATTCTTGTGGACTTTGATATCCCAATCAACAACCCCAACTGCCTTAAAGGACTCTCGTCTGCTCTCTGTAACCTCCTCTTTTGGACTCAGACAGTGGTCTAACTCAGCAACTCATACAGCAAGAAACACTGTTGAACTCATCTTCACCCATCTCTCCAAAGTTCAATTTCCTCTATCTGACAACTACCTCTATCTGACAACTACCTTCTGACTTTTGACATCAGCATACCCCATACACAAATTAACCACCCTCACCACATCAATCTCCCAGAAACCTCCACTTTTTTGACCTACAACGATTCTTCACCAACCCATCTCAAACCTCACCTGCCCTAATACTGCAACCTCCCTCTACAACTCCACTCTCTCCTCTCAACTAGACATCTACACTTAAACCCAGCAAGAGCCCCCAATTACATCCCTGATTTTATATGATTTGTGGTCACTTGAGGGTTTGTCACAATCTGCTTGCTGCAATTGATAGCTTCCTTTTTCTGTCCCGCCCAGGCAGTGTGACCACTGTTCCTTCAACTTTGAACTTGAGAATTATGCTTCCAGCGGTGTCTCTAGGAACAGTCAGTGCCTTCGCTATCTTTTTGTATCCTGTTCCTTGTTTGTGAAGGGTGATGAATTATTTTCTTAATTTTGTGGACTATTCCTTTGACTTAGGCATATTTCTAACATGCAGTTAAATGTGACACAAACTCCTAGCCAGTTCAAGTATTTAATGTGTTCCAGCTTTAAGCACACCTGGTGCAACTAATGAAGCCCTTGCTTAGCTGCATCAGGTGGGGGACAACACCTGCTTTGCATATTTATTCTGTTGTGAGAGATTTTATTCAGGGGGTTGAATATTTATAACTGCATTAGTCATTATAAGTTGCATTTTTAGTTGCATTTGGGGAAAAACACTTGAAATAATTGTTGTGTTGAGCCATTTCAATTGCTTTTGTTTGATTTGTTCATTGCAAACAGCTGAAAGTCTCTTAGTTTTGACAACAAACCTAATTTTCCATGGGTGATGAATAATTTTGATTACAAGTCTATATATATATATATATGTGTGTGTATATATATATATATATATAGAGAGAGAGAGAGAGAGAGAGAGAGAGTAGAATAGGTAGCTACACTCATGGTCTTCTGTTAAAAATTCAAGTCTTTATTGAAGAAATCAGTAAAAACAGATCATCGTTTCAGTCCACTTACGGGACTTTCATCAGGATCGAAGAATCCTGATGAAAGATTTAATGCATCTGGCAAAATATGGACTCAATAGCCCGAGTGCAAGGATGTAGTGTTTCACATATATATATATGTATATATATATATTTATGTAAAATAACAGAGGAAATCCATATGTTGTAATAACTTTTTGTTGAACTAACAGAATTCTGTAATGACAAATTTTCGGGAGAACCTCCCCTTTTCAAGACTAAAGCATGAAATGGGAAAGTTGTGTAAATATGATTTCTCATCTCTAACACATCATACTAACCCAATGACAATCAGCCCAGAGTTTCCCCCTTAGTCTTTGGGCCAGTGTTTACCTGTCATAACTTCTAGTTTCACTATATACTGCCAACGTGCCTCCAGTTCATGCTGGATTCACTTGTGTTTCATAGAGACTACTCTTGGGGCTTAAATTCCTTATCATTTCCCACAATTACTTGGAGACGCCATCTATTACCTACTGTGGCTTGTACCCTTCCCTGTATTGCATCTTCACATATGCTAAGGCATCGCATTGGCACTCTGCAACAAACATCCAATTCTGTGGCATTGGGAGTCTATCCCACAGACCATGTTCGGTTACATAATTTATTACCAGTAATGTAGGTCACAGTAGGTCATTTACACACTGACTGTAGTCTTCTGACAACAAGGTTCCCTTTAGACACTCCTGACCAAATTAATGCAATCTGGCCACCTGATGACTATGTGGCCACACACTTGCCTCTGCTCTAGTCGTTATATATATATATATATATATATATATATATATATATATGCAAATGTTCTAACAAGTTTAATCTGAACAGAGTGCCCTAGAAAAGGTTGTTGCATCTAATTTTGAAACCTACTGCAAAGGAATTATATGTAGGTGGGCAAAGAGTAAAACTGGTTTTATTTGGTTACTGAATAGAATGAGATGGAAGGTGTCATAAAATGATGTATAAAAATTACATTTTTCGTTTACTGTTGGCAATAACTATATAGAGAATGTGCTGTCTCTTAACACAAGTCTTTAAATGCACACACATGCACATATAAATATAAATATATTATATAAATACATTACACCCATTGTGCTGTTGTATATGTTGCTGCTCTACACCATATAATAAAAAACATATGTAGAAAAACTCATTATACTACACAGTCATCAGTGAAGCAAAGAGGCCGAACAGCAAGCAATGTATCCAATTAAATAATCTTAAGAATTTATTCACAAAAGCCAGAGGGCATCAAATGACAAAATGCGACAGCAACAAAAACTTAAAAATGTAAAGCATTAAATTTTTGCTACTGTGACTCGTAACCAGGGCCAGTGCAAGGATTTCTGCCGCCCTAGGCAAAGATCCATTTTGCCGCCTCCTCATGTCACTCACTCACTGACAGACACATGCTGGCAGGCACACACACTCAATGACAGACATACACTCACTGGCCGACACGCACACTCACCGACATACACACACACTCACTGACAGACAGACACACAGACAGACACTCACTGACAGACACACAGACATTCACTGACAGACACACATTCACTGAAAGACATACACCCACTCACTGACACACACAGACAGACACCCACTGACATACATACACTCACTGACAAATTACACTCACATACAGACACTAACTGACATACATACACTCACTCACTGACAGACACACAAACACACTCATTGACAGTCAAACACTCACACACTCACTGACACACAGAATTAGACATTCAGCCTGGATGATTGGCCCGGCGCTGAAGGGGGTGGCTCCAGGACAAGGGAGCCCACCAGGAAATATCCCGGTAGGCGCCCCCTTTAGGCCGGCGCCCTAGGTGAATGCCTAGTATGCCTAATGGTTGCGCCAGATCCTGCTCTTAATTCTGAAGATTAGTTAATTTGAAGCATTGCCTGCTGTTCTCCCTTTGTCCCTCTGGCCACATAGGTTTCTGGCATTTTGATCTCTTATAAGGGGTGGAAAATCTACTGGCTATTCCAACACTTTGCCAAAATGACCTTTCAGGCAGGTACATTTTTATCAGGGCTCAAATACAGGGCTTGATGTTTTCTTCAGCAAACGTTTATGCTCCTGACACTAATCAAATATTCTTTCTATTGAAGGTCATTCACCAACTGTCATCCTTTACAGAGGGAATCCTAGTGTTCAATGGGGATTTGAACATTCCCATGAATCCTGGTCTGGACTCCTCCACGGGCAAGTTCTCTCCTCTGCTATCCCAAATTTGTAAGTTATGTGCTGCTCTACACAAGGCTCGCTTGGTAGATGTCTGGTGCATACACAATTCCACGCCCCATAGATATACTTTTCTTACCCTTATAGGCAGTATTCCCATCTGGACTACCTGTTCCTACCTGTTGCTTTCACATGCACATCTCAATATGGCACCTATACACAACAAAACCTAGGACATCCACCAACTCAGTCAATACCTGGATGTGACTAACCCACATTGTCCCTATGCCTAACTTTTACACACTTGTGACACTTTTGCTCACTTTTTGATGACCAGAGGTGACCTCACAACTTACCTCAACACATTTCCAATTACTTTTAAGAGAATCAAAAAGATGTTCCACTTCCATGGTGGTTTGGGAAGTCCATAAATGTGTAGTAAGGGGTGCCATCATTTGCCTATTCACCCACATTAAAAGGTTACTCCAAGCATAATAACCTCTAAAGTCTAATGTTTAAGTGAAACCTAATTCAGTGGTTATGATGCCAGGAATACCCTGACCCAGTTTCGTGTTAATGGGGCAAACCATTTTGCAACACTTTGCCCTCTCCCCTGGGTCCCATCAGACGCTGAGGCTTCTCTATGGTAATGGTGATGCTGCAGATGCCAATTCTACCAGCCATTCCTTGGCTCAGTGTCAGCTGACCATTTTTAGTGTGACCACATCTACCATGTTTTCAGGAACACATAATTTGTCATATTTGTAAAAAAAAAAAAAGCATGAAAAGGATTGCTGTGCAGTGTGTTATGCGTATTCTGCAGGATTCTTTATTTCCTAATTACGTAATCTTATACACCTTCTTCTGAGTTCTACAAACTACACCTTTTCATGTGCTATCCATAAATTCGTATATGTGATACGAGTCCTTGAAAACTTGATGGATCTGGTCACCCTATCCACTCTCAACTAATGAATGCAATTATGTGCAAATAAATGATGCTGCTGGAAGTGGGGTTACACCTATGTCAGCAAAGGGGCTAAGCTCAGTATATGGAGTGTTTCATAGCCAAATGCTGTATGTACAGAGTGCAGGCACCATAACTACTTAGAATCACTAATGTGGTCCTGGTGCTTGTCCCTTTAACAAAAGACAATCTCACCTAATTAAGGTGATATCCAGAATGAACTAAAATTGTCAGACCTAATATTTTAGAAACTCGCAAAGCCAGAAATAAACTTAGTATCCTTTAAATGCTAAAGTAAAGTCAAGTCTTTTGTCCATTCCTTATCCCATCACTACCAAGAGGGCAATAAAGTAGCACAAACTACACCCATCTTATCAATGCACCTTCTCTCGGAAACCTTACAACATCTCGGAAACCTTACAAACCTCATATCATCACTAAAGCCTTGTTATGGATCCACATGAAACTTCATTTTAGAATACATTTCTTGCCTTGTAAAAGGTAGCATTGTGGAAGACACTTTAGATAACATTAAGTGCCTAATCTCCATAGATGATCTCAAGGCAGCATGTAATTCCCTTCCAACTGGGAAGTGTGTAGGACCTGCCCCCCAGTAAGGGGTACTTCTACAAAATAATTTTTAATTATCTGAACACTTACTGTGTGAGGTCTTCATTGCTGTTTGTGTAGAGATAACACGTTTACCACATTTTCTCTTACGTGTAGACATACCGGTCCACTTATTCTTAACATCCATGCTGCTTCTTTAAGTCAGTCGCAGCCTTTTTCGAAGTTACCGGGTGTGGCATACCACGCGTTCCCCAACTTGTTGTGCTCCCCATCATGGCACGGAGGGTGTCTGGCCAACGGCACAATCCTCTACATCTCTGATCATAACACCACCGTGCCATCTGACTAAGGTCATTGGGGTTGAGCTCGCTGTCATCTTCACCAAGATTAATTGATCACCTGTGTTTTACCATAATTATCCGATACAGTATCTGGATCTGTGGAGAGGGCCACCCACCGATAAGTACTTTTACTTTATTCATTTACATGCACAAGTTCTTTTTTCATGTGATTTCTGCTGGGTTTTTTATGAATTTTAGATCTTTTTTATAGGATCGTATCTACAGGTTGTTTTTTCACCGGGGATATTTAACAGTATTGTTGATATACGCCTTATTTTCCGTTCTCTGGTCAGTTTTACAAACTGAGGTTTCTTATTCTATAACAACTTGGTATTTATATATTTATACTACTCTGATAATTTATTTCATACCTTGCAACATTCTGGGTTGTTGTTGTGTTGATGACATTACAGTCACGGATGTTGCAGTATGTATCAGTTTTGTATAGTGTTTTTATTACTTTGGAGCAGCTTGTGTGTGTTTTTTATTAGATTTCTCATTTTTTATTACCATTAAATTATACTTTATATATTGATTATGTGGATTTTCTGTTTCTATTTTAATTTATATTAGGAGCGCTTGCACCTTATATATATATATATATATATATATATGTTCCACATTTTCTCTTGGCCACAATTGGCTCCCAGCTATTATTCAGGAAACCATGCTTTCAAACTTTGAAATGAACACTACCAAATGTTCTGAATCTAAATGCCCCATAGACTGTTTCTCTGCCCTGGCAACACATGCAGCCTTTCTGGTGTCCACCTTTCATATTCTGTACTTATGAGTGGAGCGTACTGTATTTTACCACCTTTGGATCCTTGCAGGCAAGAACTTGGGAAGAAATTCGCTATGTTAGTTTGTCCATAAAAAGATAAACATTAACATTACCCATTGTTTATTGTATTTATTTTAGGCAGCACCAATTCATTCTTTGCTGAACTTCATCAGAAAATTCCATCTACTCAGTGTCCCTAAAACCGATGGTGAATGGGGTCTCTCTGATTCAGAATTGTGATACTATGCAACCTTACTGATGAGAATGATGGTCTGTACAAGGCAGTCTAATGATAAATGTGAGATAGCAGTAGCGCATCAAGCACATGCTTGCCCAATACAGTTCCTTCCCTAGCTTTAAAGGATTTCCTCAGTCATCATAACCACTACAGCCCAATGTTGTATCCAGCCACACATTTTGTGTCCACCCACAAATGTCCCATTGTCTTCCCAATTTTGACAGTTTGGGAGAGATATATAAACAGACGGCAGTTTACTTCCTTTTCCTTTCCTTTCACACATCTCACAGTCCCAACTTTTCCACCATAACTACTAACTTTTGCACTAGACCACTTAGGACTCACCTCATACATGACAGCCTCCCCAAACTGTAAGAACGTGCCTCCGACTCTACCAGGTTGTGGTCTTACACTCTGCATTATCAGCTATTAAAACACTGCAAACCTTCATTTCCTCTGACACTCTCCTACATGATCTAAAGGCAAACCTTCATTTCCTCTGACACTCTCTTACATGATCTAAAAGTCTGTGTACTCATGAACAGTACTCTACCCACCTACACTCTTAATCTTTACTCTTTCAGAGCCAACACTGCCCCCTCTATAGAGTGATGGGAGAGGAAGTAGGATATCACATTGACCAAAAAAATGGCAATATGTTTTTCTGAAAGTTATTGGTAACTTTAGATTTGAAGAAATGTCTGGCAAATTGCTTCAGGATCCCAGCCCACTTACACTCTTGGCAAGGGTACAAGAGTTCACAGGGACCCTAAACTTTAGTCCTACTAGATCTGTATCCAAAAAGCAATCACCAGAGTTCACAATTATTCTTTACAATTAATATCTCCTCTAGTCCACCTGTTCCACAATTCACCATATCTGCTATAATTCAAAAATTGCTGTTTGATCCTTTTGCACTGGAAAGATTCTTATCTTTCTAGCTTTCGAAAATTGATACTGCGCGCGGGGGAGATCCGGACCATGGAGTTCATGGTTGAGAGGTACACACATACAGATAACATGTATGTAGCTCCTTTGGGACCAGTTCCTGGAATCTGATATTTCTTTGGCTCTTAGATGTATATGAATTGCATTTTTGTTTTATGTTTATTGTATCAGTTCCTGATACTGTCCATTCTGGTAGACTGCACATCAAGATTATTATGCTTTTTTACAGTACTACAAGGCCATTGCCTACCTTCATCACCATTGCCACATTTTCCTTTGATTTATTCTTCATTTAATCTCCCCTTCCATCTGTTCCTTTCTTTACTCAGGTGTATTAATTAAATGGATAATGATGTGAACATTAAGTTGCCTCTACTGGATTAATATTTATTTATTTTTTGTTAATCATAGGAGTCAACATATGCTGTGGCTGTGTTCATTCCACTGCATATGTTATATGAAACTCTGAACATATTGAGTGTTTTAATAATGTGATATAATTAAAACTTAAATACATTTGATTTCATTAAAAAAATATATCAAAAAGCTGTGAAACATTATTAAAATTGTTAGGAAGCTACTTAAAACTCTATATAGTAGATATTAACATTGAGATTGTAGCTGGCTCAGTGTACAGAGATCCAGAGACATCTGGAATTGTTATAGTATACTTTTTTTAAATAAGTGTCTATATTCACAGGATTATTTTGTTGAGCAGAGAAGGATTACATTAAACATACAACAGTTTTTTGTCCCCTTCTTTATTCTTCTCATAGTGATGGTGAATTGGGCCAGCTAAACACGTGGTTCTTGAGCCGTAGGCAGATGCCTAAAATCAACTTATGGTTAAGTCTGCTCTGCAGTTGATGGAGCATGAGTGTTTTTCCAATTTAATTGTGTGCTTGTGGTGCCTATTTTGTTTTTCGTTTTGTTTTGCGCAGAAAAAAAAGATGGATAAATTTATGTATAACTGTTGAAATTCTCTACTCTGAAGCAATAGCTTTAGAGTGAGGAATTTCAACATTTATACATAAATTATTAATATACTTTGGATTTTATATTTGTCACAATTATGCTGAGATACTTTGCTCTTCCTGTAATGTTTTCACTCTTCTATTTAGAACTATCTATTATTTCTGGGTTATGCCTTGTAAGTTATTGAGAAAAAAAATCAAATTTTTGTTCATATTTATCTTCTTTCCTGTCTAATTTAGCAACAAGCCAGTTATTCTTTGTTGCTAATACAATAATGCTTTTATATATATATATATATATATATATATATATATATATATATATATATATATATATATATATACACACACATATAAATATACATATCTAATTATTTTATTTTGCAATTCCAGCTAAATTATCTTGGTCCCCCTTTCAATGACCCAGATTTCAACCCACCACGTTCAGGAGGTCCAGAAACAATCCCCAGTGCCTCTGTAGACTTTCATCTTTGGCGGAATCTAAATGATGGTTTACGCTTGGCAGAGAATCATCGGGCATACAGCTTGCTCCTCTGCTATCTAAGGTCTATTGATGGGGAAGTGGCACGTACAGAATTGAGACGGAGTCTTGGACGTTTTTGCACAAGTTTACAGGGCCTGGTTGTTAGCATAGCAGGAGTGATGTCTTCCCTGGGTTACCAGCCCCCACAAGACCTGACCACTTCCTCAACTCCACCAGCCGTGGGCTATGGCAAGGGTAATGATTTCCTGAGAAAGATGGAAGACTTTTGGCTTTTAAAGGAACTGCAAATCTGGTTATGGAGGTCAGCCAAGGACTTCAACAGGCTTAAGCGAAAGGTTCCAGCTATTGTTGCCTTTAGAGTAGAATCCCATGGGTTTTGAAATGGAAAGGAGAAGCAACAACCATTATTGTTCCTAAGCTTACATGAACCCAAGTCACATGGAAAAACACATGCAACACAAGACAGAATGATTGAAAAGATAAATATAGAATGAATGCTCAAGGAAAAAGAAAAACAATGACTGATTAAATGATGGCCATATACATTGTTAACATTAATGAGCATTCAAAAGAAAGAAAATGGGAGAAATATTTTAAGGGAATTGGTTACTTAGATAACTATGCAAAATTAGTCAGAAGGCAGTGTGATTATATATGGGATGTCTGTGGTTTTTTTTCTCACAGTAACAAGAGAGACAAGACTCACATGTACTGGAAACTAGGCTTACGTCACATAACAGATGTGTGCATTGTATAATATATTTTTTGTTTCTCTTTAATACACATCAGTTCAATGACAGTTCTAGACTTAAACTTTGGGAGTAAAAAAAAGGTAGGCCTTTTACAAATTATTAAAGTCAGGAGACCTGAAGTAGGTGTTTAAAGAAATACACTTGCATCTATAAACTTCAATATGTATATTTTTAGACACTGCATTACTTACCTAGCTTGGCTGCAGGAAGGTGGATTCTGTGGTGTGTCAGGGGAGTGGGCTGTAACAGCTTGATGCGTTTACTCACTCTCCTTACAGCATCATGATTACAATACTGCTTCTGATGCTACAGGTAATCTGGTCAGTTGGTATTTCTAAATTTCTAACTGGACCACATAGCACTTACTTCACAAAAGAGTTGCCTCTGGGCGCACATTGGAAAACCACTGCTGTCAGCCCTGTGGCAGTAGACTTCAAGGTAAACAAATGAAATGGTATTGACGATATCAGTGGTGTCTCCTATTTCCCCCCTCCTGTTTAGAACTGTTAATACCCAAGAAACCTTCCAAGAGGTAAAGGAGAACCCAATACCAGATATCAGGTAGGGTAGAAGGTGCATATAAAGGCAAAGGTTCACACAGACCTACCTGTGTGATTGTGGTTAACACTTCTTCCTAAGAATGCAATGGTATATTATTTTATGAAAACTACTGAGAAGCCATAATTGCTGCCTTTCATAGAAAAGACTCTTTGACTACATCCCTACACAAACCTTGTGAGAATACTATTTCCTCTTCATCTGCACCCTTACACTATATGAATAAATTATACAGGCCCACACCATTAATTTCCTGTAATATTTTAAACCCAGAAGATTTTGAATTACATAGTTAAAGGGACATTTTAGTCACCAGACCAACAATAGTAGTTATTCTGGTGTCTGCAGCCTGTCCCTGCAGGCTTTTTAATGTAAAGGTTTACATTACTGCATAGTAACACCTCTAGTGGCAGTCACTCAGACAGCTACTAGAGGTGCTTCCTATCTCAGTGCTGCATGGTGTGCATCACCTACATTTAGCAACTCCACACTTTGCGCGGAGATACTGAGTCCCCATAGTGATGCATTGAATCAATGCACTTCTGTGAGGAGATACTAATTGGTGCAGTGCAGCATGTTGCTATGCATGAGCAATAGCCTCCCGATGCTTTTCTATAAGAAAGCATTGGATAGGCTGAGATTGTTAAGTTTAATGATCTCAGCCATGGAGGTAGATTTGGGGACAGCCGCAGCGAGATAGGAAGAAATATTAGTAAAATCACCTTTTTAATAGGGGGGGCAAGCTACCTAAATAGCTATTTTACCACTAGTGTCAGGAATACGTGGTTGTGTCCCTGACACTATAGGATTCCTTTAGGTACTGGTGGCTTAGACTCAAGATTATCAAGGGTTTCACCCTCGGAATGCATTTGATACCGCATTTGCTGAGAGCAATATTTTTAAAATGTCTCAGAAAAGACTACATAGATTCTTCATCACAACTTAAAATGGTTTAAATGGTGTTGCCACTTTCAGATAATTGTTTACAGATGTGACTTGTTAAAAACTAATGCATTGTAGTTCTACATCTTAAAATATGAGCAGTTAAAAAGGTGGACCTGTTGCAAAATTATTAAAGGCAACACATCTGAGGTACATACTCTAAGTCACACGCACACAAACATGCACATATATGTCTCCCAGACATACACAAACATAAAAAAACCCTATTACTTTACTGAGAGGGTAGTGGATGCATGGAATAGTCTTCCAGCTGAAGTGGTAGAGGTTAACACAGTAAAAGAGTTTAAGCATGCTTAGGATATGCATAAGGCTATCCTAACTATAAGATAAGGTCAGGGACTAATGAAAGTATTTTTAAAAAAACAAAATTGGGCAGACTAGATGGGCCAAATGGTTCTTATCTGCCGTCACATTCTATTTTTCTAATGATCTTGAAAAAAGCATTGAAAGTCAAGTTTCGGTGTTTGCAGATGACACAAAACTCTGTAAAGTAATACAATGTGAGCAATATATTACTTTGCTGTAGAGAGATTTAGATAGACTGGAGGACAGGGCACTCAAATGGCAGATGAAACTTAATGTAGAAAAATGCAAAGTTATGCACTTTTTCATAAAGAATGCACAAGCAACTTATACCCTTAATGGAAGTGAATTGGGGATAACACACGAGAAGGACTTTGGAATTGTTATAGACAACAAACTATGCAACAATGTGCAATGTAAATCAGCAGTGCCTAAGGCCAGTAAGGTATTGTCATGCATGAAAAAAGGTATTCATTCTCCAGATGAGAATATCATTTTGCCTCTTTATAAATCTCTGGTAAAACCACATCTTGAATATGCTGTGCAATTATGGGCACCTGTTTTAAAGAAAGATATTATGGCACTAGAAAGAGTGCAGAGACAGGCTACAAAATTAATAAAAGGAATGGAACAGATCAGCTAAAAAAAATTAAACCTCTTTCGTTTAGAAAAACATCACCTCAGAGGGGATATGATAACATTATACAAATATATCCGGGGCCAATACAAACCATTGTGTGGAAACCTATTCACAAACAGGATTAAACATAGGACATGAGGTCATGCGTTTAGACTGGAAGAAAGAAGATTTAGCCTAATGCAAAGGAAAGGTTTTTTTACCGTTAGAACAACAAGGATATGTAATTCTCTGCATGAAGAAGTGTTTTTATCAGACTCCGTACAGAAGTTTAAACAGCAACAAGATGCATACTTGCAAAAACAGAATATTCAGGATATAATTTTTCAATGTAGGGTAAAAGCTTCTTGATCCAAGGATAAATCTGAATGCCATTCTGGGGTCAAGAGGGATTTTTTTCCTAGTTTGGTGCAAAATTGTATGTGCTTCAAACTGGGTTTTTTTGCCTTCTTTTGGATCAACAGCAAAAAAATAAATGTGAGGAAAGCTGAACGTGAGGAAAGTCCATACACATGTCTCTTTTCAGCCTATGTAACTAAAGAAAACTAAACAAAAAACATTATACCAATATACAGAATATAGACACATACAGAGATACACAAATACATATATATATATATATATATATATATATATATATAAACATATATATATATATATATATATATATATATATTCCTCTACACAAACATGCACTCACATACACACAGCTAAAAGAAAAACATATTAAAAAAAATTATAATTAAAACAAATGTCTCTCTCTCTCTCTGTATATATATATATATATACACACACACACACACACATACATAACACACACACATACATAGAGAAGGATTGCTTCCCTTGTGTAATGGTAACATTTTGCAGGCACCCTCCCCCTCCCCCCATGTTGCATCCTTCTAGCATCAGGAGGAAGCTCATAAGATGTTACAGCCCAGTCCAATACACCTAATGTGAACAAATTAGGAGAGCTGTTTATATATTTCCTACAAGATTACACTATTGTTTTGCTCAAACTGGCCATGACCATACACTGCTGTCCTGGCAGGCACAAATATCAATTTAAAACAAATGTTGGTTCTGTAGAAGAGGTTGGGGTGCATAACATCTCCAAAGCACCACATGATAACCATTACTGCGTAAATTGCATTGGGAACTCTATTTCTCATATAATGCAGATAGGTTGGCTGAGAATTTGAGAGGCTATGCAGATACTCTGTGGATATCTACACAGACAAGATAGTAAGTTAAGTTTGAGTTTGAGACCGAACCATAACTAAATGAGTATTTATTTTTGGTGACAGTTTATAATAAGCAATATAATTCCACTAGGTGACAAAAACAATAGTCATCTATATCTATGTATGTATGTATGTGTGTGTTTATTGTATGTATGTAGATGGATTACGTTTTCATATATGGTCAGTAATATTAAATTAGGAACCAGTGTCTTCTTTAATTCCTTTAATTATATCTATCATCTACATTGCACCTGTTTATAAAAATATGGAACACTAGAGCCTGTGTAACCTATATTTCAGTATATCTATGTGTATATATACAGTGTGTGTGTGTGTATATATATTGTATGATTGTATGTATATATTCTCAAATATACTTGAATTAAAATTTATAGTTTAAATGTTTACCCCCTTTGCAGCTCTGAAAGATTGTGATCCATAATTCTAGTAGAATACCATAGAATATTAGTGTGCAGCACGTTTTGATTCAGCATTGGAAATAGCATTGCATAGCTTTCAGACACTCAAGCAAAGAATTCACCAAAGTAAAAAGTCCAACAATTGCTATTGCTAGTCCAAAACTGATATCAACATCAGATAATCCTGCATGGCATAAACAGTTGGATTTTAAAGCAAAACTGTAATTTTCCTGGAAATTACGCTGGTGAATAAGACACTGCAATAGAATATTACTTATGATAAGCTACTTTTCATATTATGCACCTTTTCAGATTTAATTAGTTTAAATCAGCATCAGAAATTATTCTAATCTGTTAAAAAAAAAAAAACAGAGAAACATAGAATGTAATGGCAGATAAGAACCATTCTGCCCAATTTTTGAAATACTTTAATTAGTCTCTGGCCTTATCTTAAGTCTAGGATAGCCTTATGCCTATCCCATGCATGCTTAAACTCCCTCACTGTGTTAACCACTTCAGCTGGAAGGCTATCCCATGCATCTCCATAAAGTAATACTTCCTGATATTATTTTTAAACCTTTGCCCCTCTAATTTAAGACAATGTCCTCTTGTTGTGGTAGTTTTTCTTCTTTTAAATATAGTCTCCTCTTTTACTGTGTTGGTTCCCTTTATGTATTTAAATGTTTCTATCATATACCCCCTGTCTCATCTTTCCTCCAAGCTATACCTGTTAAGATCCTTTAACCTTTCCTGGTAAGTTTTATCCTGCAATCCATGAACCAGTTTAGTAGCCCTTCTCTGAACTCTTTCCAAAGTATCAATATACTTATGAAGATACAGTCTCCAGTACTGCATACAATAGTAAGGTCTCACCAGTGTTCTGTACAATGATTTATCTTCAAAGGTGCTCTTTAAAGTCTCTGGGATATTTTGCTGACAAATCAAATAAAAGGTGGTGATTTTTTTTTTTCTAACAGATTGGAATCATTTCTGATGCTGATTAAAATGAAGCAAATTGAGGTCATACTACTTTTGAATAAGCTGTTTAAATTGTTTAATATTTTTGGATAACCTTTTCAAATTATATAATATTTTCAAAAATATATTTTTTTAATATTTTGATAGTTGTAGTATTTTTATATATGATATATTTTTTTATATTTAAAAATTTTGAAAAAAATAAGTTGAAAAGCTCATTCAAAAACATTACATTTTTATATTTAATATTGTTGGATTAGCTTTGCAAATAATTTAATATTTTTTAAAAAACTTAAAAAAAAATTTATCTTTAGAAGCTTATTCAATTGAGGCCTTAGTTCCAGTCATTAACTCTCAAATACCCTGTTACAGCAGTGTTGATTTCTAAATTTTATTTTATTTTTCAGACCTAAAACAAATTTGTCAAATACAGGGACTCTATGAGCATAACATAAACAAACCTGGGAAGTGACAGTTCCCTTTAAAAAAGTAAATTAAAGGGTTTTTATCAAGGGGATTTTAACTTTAAAAAAAACAAAACACTATTAATATAGCAAGTTGGGGAGGCTAAATACAATAATGGAGGGGAGACAAAAGGAAGCTTTATATGTATGTTGCCAGTGTGCAGTGCTTGCTGGAGGCGGAAATATGTTTTGCACAGAATTTACATTTGGAATTCCATAAAAGAATTCCAGACTGCAAATTTCACATGTACCGGAGATGTCACTAGTATCCAGCACAAAAGTGAACATATCTTAGTATGTGCTGAAAACTGCACATACAGACTCCTACCACCATAATCGTTTCCCCCAAACACCATCAACACTTAAAGCAGAAGTGGCCATGGTGCTTGGGGAAACACTTTAGTGAAGGAACCTATAGAGATGTAAGATTGGGTACCTAAATAATGACGGCTGTCTATATTTATTTGCACATTTTTATGGCATTCTGGAAGAGTTATAAAAAACACATAATTCATGTTAGCTGTGTCTGGGGAAAGTTTTTGAAATGTGCATACTAACATGTAAATGTTGTATAGTAGTATATTTGAGAATTTACTCAAGTGAATCAATGAGATGATTTTTGGTTATGTCTTACCATATTGTGTATGTATTTCCCTTTGTGTATACTTAGGCTGCAATGTTAGCTTACTTTTGTGTATAACTGTTTCTGAGCAACTTTGTATATTTGCCCCATTGGTGATTATTCCCTATTATGTGTATATTTATTTATTTGTGTTTGAAATGTTATTTATTCACAGCATTTGTATTTATTTTTTAATCCCAGGAAGGTAAATGTAATTGCAAAAATGTCAACATGATATAATTTAACCCTCATGTGTCGGGGAGATGTGGGAAGCATTGTTTTGAACTGCATTGCACAACTTTTTGGCACTCAGTAGCTCACAAGTACTTAAATGTATAGTTAAAATTGGTAATATATACTTATATTATGTCTGTATACCTCCTTATAAATTCTGTATTTAAGAAAAACAGTCACAAGTAAAAACAATAAACAAGCTGTGTATTTATACATTTAACCCATAATAATCAAAAATGGCTATTCCCTCACATGCAACTTAATAAATTGTGTTTAGGGATTTTTTTTTTCTGAAACCTGCCTTATTCCACTTTGAACAGCTGATTCATTGATTTATCCCACTTTTTTTTTTTATCTCAACACACATGTATGCACAAGGCCAGATTTAGGGCTTCATGGGCCTGGTGTTGAGAATGTTAGTGGACCTTTTTATAAAAATGCATAAAACTATTTTTTTAGTTTGGAATGACAACTAGATTATTAAATACAACAATGTCAATCAACACACATTTTACAGCAATTGGTTTTATAAAAATAACAAACCATAGATGGAAATATTTATGCATACCTCCCAAGTGTCTCTTTTTAGGGGGGGGCAGCTCTATATGGACCCCAATCTCTCTGTTCCTTCTTTTCTATCCTCTTTTCTGGAGCTCCAGACTGTTGGTGTGTTTAGGAGCTTTGCAGCAATAATGTGCATTTAAAATACAATAAAAGTGTTTAAAAATCAATCTGTGAAAATAAGATATGTTGTTCTTATTACAAATTACATTTTAGTTGTATATATAGTAATTATAATGTCACTTAAAATTTCTCAGAACAGCTCTGACCCTGGCACAAAAATTAAAGTGTTCTTCATTGTCCATTTGAATTGTTGGGCAGTATGTATGTATGAACAGTGTATTATCACATCAGCTTGCTGTAGTGGTTATAATGCCTGGAGTGCACTGGTGCTATCCTGTTTTGTCATGGTGTGCCTCACTTACCTGGGTCCTGCTGAGAGCAAGCAATTCTCACTTCTCAAGCTGTATAAGCTATATTTCTGTTCTGTCAGAAATTGCACTATTTCTTTGGCTGAGAGGTCCTCTATTTTACACAAAGTAGTGTACCCACACTTCCAGTGGGACTATAAGTATAACCTGGCACATTTGAGTGTTTGTTAATGTAGAGATGCATGTTTATGTACAGCAGGTATGTGTCAATGTAGGGATTCATTTTTGTAAAGCATCATAGTATGTGTCAATGTAGGGATTCATTTTTCTAAAGCATCATATTAGTGTGTCAGTGTATGCAGTGTTAGTATGTTTAAAAGCAGGGATATGTTGTTGTGTTACTGCATGTGTGTAATAGTATGGAGGCTCTGGTTGTAAAAACAGGATGTATTTGTACAGCATAAATGAGTGAAACCCAACACTGCTTCTCCAAGCTTTCTTCCTCTTGAGGACAGTTTGAGGACATGTGGTTGGGGATAGGCTGAGAACATACCTGCCACCCATTAAGGGAAATAATGTGTGTATGTGTTTTAGTCATGTATATTAATGCATGTGTGTGTAGAACATTTTGATGTATGTTATAAACACGTATGAAAAAAAGGCTTATTGTGTATACATGTATATTACATGTATAGAGGGACACTATAGTGTTAGGGATACAAATGTGTTTTCCTAATACTATAGTGTTATGCAGCCATTGAAATGACTGCTGTCCCTCTCTAAATGTGTATGAAAAGTTAGTTCACTTATCTTTTTTGGAGAATGCTGTGGTGTTCTCTCCATGGCCAGTCCCGTTTCCATTTCTGAGGAAATGAAGAGAGAGCAAATTCAACTGGCAGCAGAAGAAGAGGAAAAAGAAGAGGAGAAAGAGGAAAGGAAAGCACTACAGGAACAAACTTGAGCTCCCAAATATACATTAAAGGACCACTATAGTGCCAGGAAAACATACTCGTTTTCCTGGCACTATGGTGCCCTGAGGGTGCCCAACCCTCAGGGACCCCCTCCCACCGGGCTGGATGGAGAGGAAGGGGTTAAACTTACCTCTTTCTCCAGCGCCGGGCGGGGAGCTCTCCTCCTCCTCTCTGCCTCCTCTCCTCCTCTTCCGCTGAATGTGCATGCACGGCAGGAGCTGCGCGCGCATTCAGCCAGTCCATAGAAAAGCATTCACAATGCTTTCCTATGGATGCTGGCATCTTCTCACTGTGAAAATCACAGTGAGAAGCACGCAAGTGCCTCTAGCGGCTGTCAAGAGACAGCCACTAGAGGCTGGATTAACCCTAACATAAACATAGCAGTTTCTCTGAAACTGCTATGTTTATTAAAAAGAGGTTTAACCCTAGATGGACCTGGCACGCAGACCACTTCAGCTTAATGCCTATAGTGGTCCTTTAAGAGGTTATTTTGACACAGTCTAACCCGTTGGTTCCTGTGTCCCTGTTCCCTCTTACCAATCTTTCCCTATGCCTGATTCCAAATTGCCTGGCATAGAATAAAAGTCTTGCTATGGTCCTCAAATCCTATCAAATGCTTGCATAGTTTCTGCGGCAGAATGGACCATCATTTCCCATGTTTTATGGTGTATCAGAACAAGTATAGCCGCTACGGTGGGAATTTCTGCGATTCTTCAGCTACTGATAAGAATCAGTTTAGTCACAAGAAAAGTATGACAGGGCCCTACCCATCAGTTTACCAAACTACACCCTCCGAGCATTTCAGCGACTCATCAACGCACACATATGGAGGAAAAAAACACCCAGAATCTCACTAGCAAATATTAGCACAGCCATGGGGGGAGGCGGGGTGGGTGTGCCACACATAACCAAATACTACCTAGCAACAAACATATCTCAGACGGCGTGCCTCCTCTCCACCTCGAATTGCCCACTGTGGCACCAACTGGAAAGTGCTGTCTGTGCGCCTTACTCCCTTAGGGACCTAGTTTGGATCCCAGCCAAGGCCCAACCTCGACTCACGAACCCTCTCACAACAACCAAGCTGTCCCTGCAGCTATGGCTGAGATGGGCCCCAAAAATGCTGAGTGCAAAGATAGAGACCTTTGCCCCACTGACAAGTCTCCAGCACCACACACATGACCTGGATTTGGGCGAGTGGGTGGACAGGGGGGTGACGCAGATAACACACCTCTATGGAGCAAATGGGCTGCTAGCGTTCCCGGACCTCCAGAGCCAATACCATCTACCAAACAGCGAAATATTCACATATTTACACATAAAACATATCTTAGGAGCCACCGGCAAGGAAAGGACACCAACACAACCCCAAAACCACTTTGACTTGCTATGCCAAGGTCTAAAACCCCCCAAAAAAACACTCTCCCTGTGTTACCATAGGTTGCTAGACATAGACAGACCGGCCAAACAATCATACATGCTCAAATGGGAAAGAGAATTGAATTGCGAACTTGAGCGTGTTAAGTGGATAGGGGCCATGACACTGGTTAAACGGGCGGCAAAGTGCTTGGACCATGTAGAAGCAGCCTACAAGATGTGGATGCAGTGGTACTACACACCACACAGGTTGGCCCAAATATACCCAGGGGTGCAGGATAGATGTTGGCGCTGCAGCCAACAAGTGGGAAACACAAGCCACATATTCTGGTACTGCCCGGCACTCAGCCAATACTGGCAACAAATCCAAGATATAATTGAATCCAAACTAGGAAAACAATTACCACTCAAACCTGAACACTATCTGCTCCACATGCTACCCCGAGACCTTACCGCCTATGAAGCAGCGCTGACTACCCACATCACCTTAGCAGCTAAAACGTGCATAGCCGCCTTGTGGAAAACTACGACAGTACCTGACATAAAGACAGTACTCGCTAAAGTAAGCCTCACCCAACAGTACGAGCAGATGGCACATACAATAGGTGGCACACTAGAACACTACAACAGGACATGGTCTAAGTGGTGATGCCTGGGTGAATGGCAGGAACCCAAACTACGCCCCACCTAGCCTTAAAGCAAGAGAGCATCTCACCCCTCCCCCCCCCGTACTACACCCTTATCCCAGTTAACCCCCCCATACACAAAATAAGGGCTTACGTTGCCTTACCAAGCCTTAAAATATGAGATGATGAGCAGGGAAATCAGTTTCCAGCCTACAAGACACAAAACCAAATAAATAAAACGCAAAGGTGATACACACCCGGTTCCTAACTATCTGGCCCACCCCGAAGAAGAGCGGAGGATACAGGTGGGAGGCTAAGAGGCATGATAACACACGCCAGAAAGCATGCCCAGCCTACCGGGTATCAAAATCAGGGCATTACTCACCACCCATAACAAAAGCATGAATGTCAAATGAAACGAAACACTGTACCATTGCCACGAGGATGTATTGTAAAATGCCATTGAAAAATGTTATCACTATACACTCTCTGTTTATGCAATATGTATGAAACGTAAAATGTATGTTAAAGTGTCAATCCGAAACCTTTTCATCTCAATAAAAATGAAACATTTAAAAAAAAAAGAAAAAAAAAAAAAAGAAAAGTATGACAGGATAGTAATTTCTATGACCTAGACCAGGTGACTGGGAAAAGACGCAGAAGCTCAGGGAAGCAAGGTGAATGGTTAGAGTTAGGACCCACCTAAGAGGTCTGCCTTAATGTGGCAGGTGGGCATACTCTCTCATGGCCATTGGAGGTAACAAAAACTTCCATTAAAAATACAAAGGGATGTGGAAAGAGCACAGGTAACTTTTTTCTTTGGTTTTTACTATATGTATTTGGGCTGATGTGTACTATGGTCATTGATGCCGCCAAGGAGTAATGGGAGTTTGAACGCAGGACTTGTTTCTTTGTATTTGTATTCACTTTTGTATCACACAGCTAGGCTACAATGCTGCTGCCCATCCCATGTGTTCCCTATTAAGGGTTAATAAGCATGTAGGGATGTATAAAAAAATGCCCCTTTCTGTCTCATTGGAGATATCTTTGTCAGAAGCTCAAGGAAGCAAGGTGAATGTTAGAGTTAGGACCCATCTAAGAGGTCTGCCCTGACGTGGCAGGTGGGTATACCCTCTCATGGCCTTTGGAGGTAACTAAAAACCTATATTTGTATAAAAATACATAGGGATGTGGAAAGAGCGCAGGTACATTTTTTTCTTCGGTTTTTACACAATGGGAGCGTTGGTAGTAAGTTGACGCATGTATGGGTGTCTGCGCACTAAGCTATCCCATGTTCTGAGGGAGTGTTGGGTGGAAGGTGTACTAGGTGACCACAAGGGTTGAAGTGTTTTAAATAAGTAGCTTATCTTCTAAGGCTACATGTCTGCCTCCTCCCCCGTGCCCTCCTCCCCCTGCCCTACGCCCCAGCCTCCGAAACATGCACAGTTGACAAAGGCTGCATTAAAATAAAATACACATTCAGTACAGCATGGACATACCCTGGTGAGGAGTAAATCTGTGATGTAAACACAGTTTACCAAGAAACACATAAAAGAAAAGCCAGCATGCAAAGAATAATAGATTAGCGGTGGTCCTTCCCAGGCACTTAGTGCCGGTGACCAAACTATGAGAGCACCGTTTGGGGTGGGGAGACATTGGCTATCGATGGGCCTTGACCCTCAAGAGCCCCAACATATGGATTCAAATAAAGATGACAATAGGATTAGCTACATTAGGAACATAATGCATGGGTACATACTGTATTTTTCTGAAATACAATCCTATTGAACCAAGAATCCCTGGCCTGATTAAAGTTCTTTAGGAAATTAGTTTGTGGAGGTCCTAGTTGTCACTGTGCCCGATAGTTGATGAGAAGTTGTTTAACATGCTCATGAAGACATCCGCTGGTTCTGATTCTTTTTAGATAACTTCTTGAACCTTTTGCAGCTGTCGTTCTCTCTGATCGTGTGATTGTAAAACCATGCTCAGAACCATATGGAACCAAACACCTAGAAAAATGATCTACTGAGATGGAATTAGATGGCTTTTCTGGTAGTTTATAGTCTAGCCGATCATTTCTAGGGTTGGGATTGCTCTGTCTTTGTTCAGTATTAGATCTTCTTTCAATGCTCCTACTTCTTTTTGTGCAAATAATGATATATATTCAGATCTTGTTGCCTTAGATATGCTTTTAGATCTAGGAGAACTTTTGTAAAGATTCTTGGAGCTGTGCTTAGACCGATGGCATTGCTCTGAAGTGGAAGTTATCTCCCATAATAGCAAGCCTTAAAAACTTCTGATGGTGTTTTGCTATCAAAATATGAAAATAGGCATCTTTGAAATCCATGGAGATTAACCAATCTAAGGAGTAGGAGAAAAAGAATAATCGATAAACAGCGTGCAGCATCTGTCCTGCCGTTAAATCGGTGAGAAGGAGCTCCAGAACAGGTAAGCTTTCTAACTAACTCATCTATATGTTCTTCAAGAAATACTAGCCATTTCATAAGCGCCTTAAATATTGAAGTTAAAGCTACTGCTGGTCTACAGGCTGCACCAGCTGCTACATAATTTTACACAGATTCATGTCACTTATGTGATCCATAGTAGGTTGCCTAATCTAGAGGTAGGGCTGTATTTCTTCCTAACCTAATAATTGCAGCTTGAATTTTAGGTGTTGTATTCCAAGAGCCAGATTCTTCATTGAAGGAATATCATGACTATCTTACCCCGAATAGTAACCTTCTAGAAAAAGTTCATGAACTAGAAAGGATGGTCTCTTCTTTTTCACTTTTTCCACTGTTTTAGCATCCATCTGACCTTCCACAGTGTTAGAATCACCCAAGGAATATATACCCTAATAGTCTTCCAATGGAAATTCTGTCTCGGAAATGTCT